ATTCTCAGGGACATGTGTGCCACCTCATGCTTTATCATTACACACATGATGTCCCCTGGTTGTTCCTCGATCATCCCATTCCTTTGTCGAGGAAAACAAGAACATGAGACCTAGGAGGCCCACATTTGCCACAAGGGGAGAGTCTTAAGGGCTTACTCCTGGCTCTGAGCTCAGGGATCACTCCTCGTAGGGTTCAGGGGACCATATGGGGTGCCTAAGTGAATCGCACGCAAGGCAAGCACCCTACCCACCATAGTATGTCTCCAGCAACCTCTTGCTACTCCCATCTTTAGATCTAACCCCTGTCTCCTCTTCATTCCTTTAAGATTAGTTGCTGGGCCAGGGAGAGAGATTGTTTAAAAGGTTAATGTGCATGTCTTGTATGTGGGAGGTCTGAGAGGTCCCTGGGGCTCCCCAGGAGTACCATCAGGAGTGCTCCCTGCCCGAAGCAAAGAGCAGAGTAGCCCGTGGGTGTGGTCCCTACACAAATCAAAAACAAATAAAAAGATGGTAACTGTCACTTTGTATTGCCTGGCCACTGTATTTGTTTCTGGTTTTTGTTTTGGGGCCACACCTGGCAGTCCTAAAGGGCTATTCCTGGCGTGGTCCTTGGGGGTCATTTTTGGCAGTATCCAGGGGATTGTGAGGTATCAGGGACTGAACTCGGGCTCTGGTCCCAAACTGAACCCAATCAAAGCATGCACATTAATGTTTTGAGTTCTGGTCATTATATCTAAAACCATAGCTGAACCCCCATTCCTGCCTTACATGGCACCTTCTGTCCTCCTCTGCTTTACTCCGTAGCACTCATCATCATCTTAGTTCTTACCCATTTTATAGTCTATCTCCACACTAATCTATTAACAAAATACGTGGTTTGCAAAGTAGTGTGTGATGTGATTATGTGTTATCAAACAAGACTGTAAAATAGCTCTCTAATAATATATCTTGGCTGATTAGATGCTGACAGAATAAAGAAGGTAGGGATTTTTGTGTGTGTTTTGTTTCAATATAGCATCAAGTTTCTGGAATAGTGTCTGGCACAGAGCAGTCACTCAATACTTGACTGAGGGGCTGGAGAGATAGTACAGTGGGTAAGGTGCTTGCCTTGCACACAGCTAATATGGTCTGATCACCGGAACCCCACATGGTCCCCCAACCTCACCAGGAGTGATCCCTGAGCGCAGAGCCAGGAGTAAGCCCTGAGCACCACTGGGCGTGGCCCAAAGTAAATATTTGACTGAAGGGACCAGAGAGATAGTACAGCCTTGCACGTGGCTGACTTGGGTTCTATCCCCAGCATTCCAATTTTTTTGTTTGTTTTTGTTTTGTTTTGTTTTTTGCTGTTTGGGTCACACCCAGCGATGCACAGTTTCTACTCCTGGCTCATGAACTCAGCAATTACTCCTGGTGGTGCTCAGGGGACCATATGGGATGCCTGGAATCAAACCCGGGTCGGCCGTGTGCAAGGCAAACGCCCTACCCGCTAATACTATCGCTCCAGACCCCCAAATTTTTTTGACTGATGACAGACTAAACTGCAGTGGTATGAATGTACCCAGGATGAGGAATGGAAAATATACCTTTACTGCAACATCTATTAAGCACCAAGCACTTTGTGAGTTAATATCTACCATCTCATTTCACTGTTACAAACCAAGGGGGTAAGGTATTTTGTTTTGATTATTGGGCCACATCAGGGTGCTCAGGGGCTATTCCCAGTATGTTACTTGAGGGATCAAATCTGGGCCCTCTGTGTGTGCTTCAGCCCGCTGGACTATCCCACAAAAGTATTTTTATCTTCATTTCACCATGAAAACTGAGGCCCAAGAGAACATAATCAAAGGTTCTGAACATAATCCAAACCTAAGCCTATTTGATCCCAAAGCCCTGATACTGCCACATTACCTTATTCTCTTGGAAGACAGTTTCTGCTTCTCAAAGGAAAGGCACCTTTGTTCTGCCTTTGCTCACAGTTGTACAAGTTTCCCAGTTGGGACCCAAGTTAGAGACTATTAGGAGTTCTGTGGAATTCTCCTCGGGCAAAACAGACACTTAGAGCCTGAGTTTTTTTGTAAAAGGATCTATCACACACTGTCAAAGACACAATGCAATAAACACCCTTCCAAGGAAGTTTACTTCTCTCTGAGTTTCATCTATTCATTTCATTCACTCATGACTTTTATTCATTTATTCATTAATAAACTTTGTGACCTTGGATTCTGGACTCAACAGGACCTGGAACAGAGATCCTCTGACTGCTTCCCCCAGTCTTCGGTGACTCAGGGATCACACCCTTAAGCCACACCCTGCTGGCATCAGATAATCTCCTCATTGGCCACTCTCCAGAACTCATGGATGTTCCTCCCAGACGGGAGTATAAAAGGAGGCTCCCAGAACCATGCCATCGGGCTCCATGCCAGGCTGTGGGGCAGGTGGGAGCCCTCCCCACACCAAGGGACCCAGCCCTGACAGCTGACCTCCACTGCCCAACCACCACCACGCTCCAGGCCACTTTTCGAGGCCTTGTGACACATTATAAGACACTTCCTACCCATTTATGCCTCTTGGAGAGCCCAGCAAGCTACCAAGAGTATCCCGCCCTCACGGGCAGAGCCTGGCAAGCTCCCCATGGCGTATTCGATATTCCAAATACAGTAATGACAATACGTCTCATTCCCCTGACCCTGAAAGAGCCTCCAATCATTGGGAAAAGACGAGTAAGAAGAGGCTGCTAAAATCTCAGGGCTGGGAGCAATGGAGATGTTACTAGCACCTGCTCGAGTAATTTGATGACCAATGGGATGATAGTGATAGTGATTCATTAATATTTGTTAGGGCTTATAGTGTGAGGTGTATTGTTTTATGTACTGATCAGATAAAAAGATGCATAAAGGCAGGAGAGAGAGCATGAGCTGAGCACATACTTTGCTTGCAGGAGACCCAGATTCTATCAGCACCACAAGCCCTGCACCCCCCTATCACCACCATGCACCACAGTCAATGCCACTCAATAGAAATAAAATGCAAACCAAATATACCTTTCTATACCTATTGACCACCACTATCACTATCACTATCACCCCGTTGTTCATCGATTTGCTCGAGCAGGCCCAGTAACATCTTCATTTGTCCCTGTCACGTGCTAGTGTAGCCCGATGACATATTGGGGGCTCCTTCAGGACCAGGGGAATGAGGACCATTCATTGTTACTGTTTTTGACATATCAAGTACGACACAGTTAGCTTGTCAGGCTCTGCTGTGTGGGCGGGATACTCTCGGTAGCTTGTCGGGCTCTTCAAGAGGGATGGAAGCTTTTGGGGCAGCCTCTAATCACCTTTACAGGTGTTTCTAGTCAGGCATATAGGTGGGTATGATACTCTAAGTAGCCTGACAAGTTCTCTGAGAGTGAGAACTAGAGAATAAGAGGTTGCGCAGCCGCAAATGCGGCCGCGTGCTTCCAGGAGCTTGGCTTTAGAGTCTCTGGATCCTGGCCGTTGATGGAGTTACACGGCAGTTGGTGGGTGTAACTGTCTAGCTACTGGAAGGTGGGGGAGCTGGGTGGAGGAGGCCCAGTCCCGAACCAAGTAGGCTTGGAGATCTCAGCCCCGGATCCCGCACACCTGGGTTCCTCTGCCGATTCCTTGTCCAAGTGTATATATATATTTTTAAAAAAATAATAATAGATGTGCATGGGGAGGAGAGAAAGAGAAGAGAGGGGAGAGGGAGCAAAGATACAGACAGAAAGACATGAGAAAGATTCATTTGGGATCACTCAATTGCCAGTTAGAAGAACTTAAGCCTCTTCTATGGCTTAAGAGTAGAAATTTTGTTCTACTTCAACCAGTGGTATAATGGGGCCAGACAGTTCAGCTAGCTGAAGCTCATGCTTTGCATGCATAATTCGGGTGTTACCTCTCAGGAATTGGTCAGCAACACCAGGTGTGGCCCTCAAAGCAAACAGTGGTATTGTGATCTGAAACCAAACCTAATATATTCAAAATAAAACTCGAGAGCCGGAGATAGGCTTCGGCAGCAGAGCGTGTCAGACCCTATGTTAGATTGCAGGAATCATATAGGAAGTAGCCCTTGAAGCACAGCCTCATGTAGCCCCAAGACAAAATTTGTCTTTTTCCCCAATTATCTTTTTAATTTTTTGGTGACATAATATAGGTTGTTTTTTTTTAAAATTAAACATCAACATTAGGCTGGTTAATTAATCTTATTTATTTATTTTGACTTTTGGGGTCACACCCGGCAATGCACAGGGGTTACTCCTGGCTCTGCACTGAAGAACGACTCCTGATGGTTCTCAGGGGACCATAAGGGATGGTGGGAATTGAACCCGGGTCAGCCGCATGCAAGGCAAACGCCCTACCCGCTGTACTATCACTCCAGCCCACAACATGGTTTTTATTTAAAGAAATTTACTTGGAGAAATGTGAGCAAGCAGAACACCACGTATTCAAGAAGAGAGTGAAAAAAAAAAGCCCTCTTCTTCCACTTTCAGTATTTACTGTATACTTGCTACGTGCTGGTAAGCACTGTGCCGAATGCTAGACGGATGGGCTACAGAATGACACTATACTTGCCTTCCCAGCTCACTACTACAACTTTTATTTATATTTATTTTTTGGTTTGGGGGCCACACTCGGCCATGCTCAGGGCTTACTCCTGGCTCTGCACTCAGGAATCACTCCTGGCGGTACTGGGGGGACCATATGGGATGCCCAGGACCGCGTCCAGCCCTACCCGCTGCACTAAGGCTCTGGCCCTCATTACACTCTTTAGCGACAAGCTCCTCTACGTTGTCATATGAGAAAATCAATGGGGAGTCCTGGAAAGTTCTGTCAGCGGTGCAAGGCCGGGATCCGAGACCCGAGATCACAACCCCAGGACCTCCCAGCTCCGGACCCCACCGGACCCACGTGTCGGGCGGGGGGCGGGGCTCGCCGCGCGGCTCGGCCTGTGCGCCTGCGCGCCGGCGGCGGCCGGGAGACCCGGATTTAAAGAGACAGGCGCTCCAACCGTCGTGGTCAGCCCGCGGCCTGTGGGCTCCAGCTGCCGAGGGCCGCGGCGAACGCGGGAGCCGGGGAGGCAGGTGAGCGGAGGCGCGGAGGGACCGGGCGGCGGGGAAGGGGGCGGCCCTGAGCCCCGGGCTCGGCGCGGCCGCCGAGTCTGCCCTCTGGACTCCTCCCCCGCCCGCCCGCCCGCCCGCCGGGTCGGCGGAGCCCCGGGGCACACCCTCCGTGACGTGGCGGCCCCCCGGGGCTGATGCGCGGCTCCCCGGGACCCCGCCACGGGGGTCTCCGCTTAGCCGGACCAATCCCGACTCGTTGGAGCGCGTCGGTGGGAGTGGGGGAGCCCCTGGTTCTGCCGCCGCCCCTTGTAAGCCCTCGGGCGGCGCCCAGGGACCCCTCCCCCCCCACAGTGTCGACCCGAGCGCGGGGACCCCCGGGTGCCGGCCCGAGCGCGGGGACCTCCGGGTGCCGGCCCACACGCGGGGACCCCCGGTCCCAGCCCGAGATAGGGACCCCCGATGCCGGCCCTTGCTGGGGGGTGTCCCGTGGCGGCCGGTGGGGCCGGGGACAGAGCCGCATTGTGTCTCCTCGTGGCTGCGCCTCTTGGGGCGAGGGTATGGCGCCCGGGTGCGGGGTCGGGGGACTCCTGTGCTGGCCCCGGGGTCTCGGCTCATCTCGAGCCCGAGTTGAGACTAACTTGTCCGAGCGTCGGTCTGTCCGCGAGGGCAGACCCGCGCTCGCACACCTCCCCGCGCGCCCCCAACCAGCCGGTGCCTTTACCTCCCCGCGGCGCCGGGTGTGTGCTTTCCAGGGATCGCAGGGTCCCTCGGCCAGGGCTTCCTTTTCCCGACCATCGCCTGATGCCCTGTTTAAGCAACGTTTCATTTAGAAACAAGAAAACCGAGACTTAGAGGGTTGGGAAAACTTCACCGGAACCAAGACTCCCAAACGGCACCCTCTGCCTCATCAGGGCGCAACCAGCCCTACTGCCCAGCCCCGTGCACATGCATTTTTCTGCAGTCCTATGGCACTGCAGTAGGTAAAGCTCATTAAACCCAGTGGTGATTTCATTACAAAGGAGGGTGCAGATTGAAAATCATTTCCCGTATACTTAAAATTAGAACTGTGAGCCCAGAGAGATAGTGGAGCAGGTAAGGTGCTTGCCTTGCTCACAACTGACCTGGATTCTTTCCCCTGCACCCCATATGTCCCCATTGCCCTCTCAGGTGAGTGATCCCTGAGCACGGAGCCAGGAGTAAACCCTAAGTGCCATCCAGTTTTATTTATTTATCTAAAAATAAATTTTAAAAAATTAGAACTGTGGGGCTGGAGTGATAGCACAGCGGATAGGGGATTTACCCTGCATGCGGCCGACCCGGGTTCGATTCCCAGCATCCCATATGGTCCCCCGAGCATCACCAGGCGTAATTCCTGAGTGCGGAGCCAGGAGTAACCACTGAGCATCACCGGGTGTGACCCAAGAAGAAAAAAAAGTTAGAACTGTAAAGATTTCTGTAGAAAACAGAAATCTAAAAAGACTGTAAAAGGAATATGAAAATAGGTATACTGTGCAGATACATACAATCCTGTTGGATTTTCATGAAGGAGGCCACACCGGGCAGTGCTCAGGGGTTAATCCTAGCTCTGCACTAAGGAATCACGCATGGCGGAGCTCAGGGGACCATATGAGGTGCTGGGGATCCAACCAGGGTTGGCCACATGCTAGGTGAGCACCTTACCCACCGTATTATCTATCCGTCCCGTCCCCTGTTTGAATTGGGGTTGCTATATCCTTCTGCAGACGGTGATTCAAGATGCTTTATGGCTTATAAACAGGCTAATTGCATACCGGGAGCCTCTGCTTAAAGGAAACTGACATTGAAGGCTGGAGCAATAGTACAGATGGTAACAGTACTTACCTTGCATTTTGTCAGCCTGGATTTGCTCCCTGAGAAGTGATCTATCTGCTTAGAGAAAAAAAGAAACTGACAATGAGCTATCATGGAGGCTGGAGCTATAGTACAGCAAGTAGGGCTCTTGCTAAGCCCACTAGCAGTAATCCCTGAGAATCCCTGAGCCAGGGGTAAGCACTAAATACCACCAGGTGTGGCCCAAAACTGAAACAAAACTTAAAAAAACCTAACATGTATTACGTGCCTGCTGAGTACCAAACTCCATTCTAAGGGTTTTACTCTTAGAACAACCTCTTGTTACTATTGTTCATATTATACAGTTGAGAAAATTGAACAGGGGAAGATTGAGGAATTTAGTCAAGATCAGGCAGCAGATGAGGGAGGATCTGAACCTAGGAATTCTGACTGTCGTGCCAGAGAAATTGCCCAGTTGACTGAGCACATGCATGAGGGAGGCCTCAGAGTGACCCTCAACACTGCGTTTATGGTCTCTGAGCACACAGCTGAGAGTAGTCCCTGAACATTGCTGGTGATTCTAGAACCAAAAGAATTATGACTGTAGGTGCCTTTTCACTGCCTCCCCAAATAGGTCCATTTGGTTTGGACCATACCCATAAGACTACTTGTGGATGGCTCTTGCTTAGGGGCCACTCCTGTGATGCCCGGGAACCATAGATGGTGCAGGGAATCTAACCGGGGTCAGCCACACAGAGGGTAAGCGCATTTATCTCTTTAGTATCTCTCCAGCTCTAACTATAGTTGCTATGATTAAAACAATAAAAAGTTCATGAACATAGTCCAGGGATATAGCTCCATTGGTAGAGCTATGGCCTTCTATGTGTGAGGGCCTAGGTTCAGCCCACAGCAAAACACACACACACACACACACACACACACACACACACACACACACACAGAGAGAGTTTCTCAACCTTTTTCTGACCACAGTCCTACCCACTTTGACCTCGTTTCCTTCCTGTGGCTATCTTTTGATATTCTTGGGGGGGGGGGGGGGAAGATCCATAAGGGGCCATATAGCACCTGATTGGGAATACTGTTCTGAGAGATATAGATGTATACATTATACGTTAGTTAATCGAACACCCTTTTGCAGAAAGTGTTTTCCCATATTGGAACTCTTCATCTTGGATGTAATAAATCTTAGTACTTTGGGCCGTGTTGGATTAGTCGGCATGAATTATTTAGGCTTTGGCCTTTGAAGCCATTGAAAACCTGGTCCCGTAGTTTTCTCTCTCTCCCTTTTTGCCTTTCACCTTTTCTTTTCTTTTTCAAATTTTATTGTATACCAGGTGTACAGCGGTTAAGGCTTTTGCCTTGCATGCATCTTTTTTTCCCCCTTGTTGGGCCGCACCCGGCAAAGCTCAGGGGTTACTCCTGGCTCTGTGCTCAGGAATTACTACTGGAAGTGTTTGGGGAACTATATGGAATGCTGGGGATCGAACCCTGGTTGGCCATATGCAAGGCAAACTTCCTACCCTCTGTACTATTGCTCCAGCCCCTCACATCTTTTTTGTTTGTTCAGGGGCCTCACCCAGCGATGCCCAGGGGTTTTTTCTGGCTCTGTACTTAGGAATCATTCTTAGTGGTACTCAGAGGACCCTATGGGATGCTGGGGAAATGTCCTACCCCTAGTACTATATCTTTGGCCCCCACCTTGCATATATCTGACCTGGGTTCCACACTTGGCACCACATATATCCACCTGAGCACTGCCCACGAGTGATCCCTGAGTAGAGAACTAGAAGTAAGCCCTAAACACAGCCAGATGTAATCCCAAAGCCAAATAAGTCAAAATAAAACAAAATCTTTACCATTTGTATCAAGGTACAGTGATTTATAATACATCATGCTTTTCATGCAAATGAAAAACCACACCTATCACCGGAGCCCACTTCTGTCCAAGAATGTCCCTAGGGCCCCACTCTCCTCACACTCACTTCTCCCGCCATGCCAGCACAGTTCTGTAGACAAAATCTCCATTTCCCATGACTTTGACTATTTGCTGTTCCCTTATATATGCTTCTTTATATCCCACATACAAGGGTTTGTTTGTTTGTTTTGCTTTTTGGGTCACACCTGGCGATGCACAGGGGTTACTCCTTGCGGTGCTCAGGGGACCATATGGGATGCTGGGAATCGAACCCGGGACGGCCACATGCAAGGCAAATGCCCTACCCGCTCTGCTATCTCTCCAGCCCCAAGTTTTTTTTTTAATTAAAAAAATTATTATGGAGGTGATTAACACCTACACATGTATAGATGAATTAAAGCTAAGCTCCTAAAATTATAGAAAATTGTGTAATTTGTACAATAAAATTCATTTTTATTTTTTAAATTTTTGTTTTCTTTTGGGGTCACACCTGGCAGTGCTCAAGGCTCACTCCTGGCTCTGTGCTCAGGGATCACTCCTGGGGGGCTGGGGGTTAGGGTGTCAGGGATCGAACCCAGGTCAGCCATATGCAAGGCAAGTGCCCTACCTCCTGGACTATCTCTCTGGCCCTGATAAATTTTTTTTTCAAAAACTGCATATCTTTTTCTTTTCTCCAGGTCCAAATTGAAAATCTCTAGAACAAATAATAACTTCCTTTCACCTTTTTGTGCAGCTGTATGACTCTGACTTTTAAGATCCTCTTCCCACCAGCCCTCCGTGCCCTCGGCCAAAAGGAACTGTGCCTACTCCGGAAACAGCTTCACCGACCTGACGTCAGGCAGTTCCATCTGTGGGCAGAGACAGGTCTGTCTCATGGGTGCTGCCTCTCTCAGAGGAGGAAGCCTGGTCTGTTGTCCCAGGGAGCAAATCTAAGACCCCGGGCCACGCGGTTGGATTTCTTGCCAGGATCACATGTGGGACTGTGCAGTGGCCCCTGGGAGATGGCCGAGCAACGATTCTGTGTGGACTATGCCAAGCGGGGCACCGCGGGCTGCAAGAAATGCAAGGAGAAGATTGTGAAAGGTGTCTGCCGGATTGGCAAGGTGGTCCCCAACCCCTTCTCAGAGTCTGGGGGCGATATGAAAGAGTGGTACCACATTAAATGCATGTTTGAGAAACTGGAGCGGGCCCGGGCCACCACCAAAAAAATTGAAGACCTCACGGAATTGGAAGGCTGGGAAGAGCTGGAAGAGAATGAAAAGGAACAGATAAATCAGCACATTGCAGGTGGGGTGAAGAATACTGCTTTTTCATGCCTCCTCGATTGAGACGTGATTTCTGGCCCCTCTCTCCCAAATACACTGGGGTACTGTATGTAGGATAAGAGGTACAGTGTTGATGAAAATTTAAGTTACTTAAAGAAAGGGAACTGTCTTTTGTCCCCAGCACACTGCCCATCCAACACCCTGTTAAGGTCTACCGCCCCCCCAAGGATTGGCTCCCCAGAAGGCTTGGGGGAAAGGTACAGCAGTAACTCACCAAGCCAGGTTCTAAGAGTGCAATTGGGTAATTCTTTGGAATTTTTCTCAGGAATCTTTCTCTGACCAGTACTTCCCCCTTCTTTTGGATTCCGACAGATCTGTCATCTAAGGCAACAAGCACACCCAAGAAGAAAGCTGTTGTTCAGACAAAGTTGACAGCCACAGGCCAGGTGACATCTCCAGCAAAAGGCACCTCGTTTGTCACCAATACCAACCCCCGGAAATTTTCTGGTTTTTCAGGTAAAATAGATTAGGGCGACTTTCACTATTACGTCTTCCTTTTAGTTTGGCGTCCTATTTAGAATTCTAGGTGGAAGTTTCTGTATGATGTAATCTTAGTAACAATTTGCTTTCATCTGAGCAGCAGTAATAACTATTTCTCAAGGCTCTTGTTTTTTTAGTTTTTTAAATTTTTTTTCTGGTTGGCAGGTGGTTGGGCCACACTGGCGGTGCCCAGGGCTGACTTCTGGTTTTCCTGTGCCCAGGGATCACTCCTGGCAGGTCACAGGGGAACATATGGGGTGCTGGGGATGGAGCATGAGTCAGTGACCACGTGCAGGGCGAGAGCCCTACCTACTGGACTATTGCTCCAGCCCAGGGCTATCCTTACATTGCATTTCTTTGTATATTTTTAACCTCACAGCAAAATGATTATTGTTTTGTTAACTTTTTCTCCTTGAAGATAAAGAGATGGCTCAAAGGATTAGAATGCATTCCTTGCATGGGTGAGGTCCCAGTTTTGATCCTTGCACCACAGGGTCCCCTGACCACTTCCAGATGTGTTCTACCTGCCCCCTAAGCACTGCCAGGCCAAACTGTGGCCTTGTACTAAGCTGTCAGGACTGCAACTCTGGGTTGAGTGTCAGTGGGAGCGAACTCTGGATGGACACAGAGACCATGGGTAGGCTCCCAGTAAAGGGTTTTTTTTTTCTCTCTCTCTTTGAAGAGGCCTCAGACCTCAGTGAGATGGAAATGGCAGCATGTAACTCATTTACCCCTACAGTGTTCTCTTAGGACAAGAGGCAATAGATTCCTGCAATATTGTCATTTATAAGAAATGCACAGGACCAGGGATGTGGCACATTGTTTGAAAAGGGGAAGAGATGCAGGTGAAAAGGAAGGAGGAGGAAGGAAGGGAGTGAAAAAAAACTGGTAATTCAGATCGTTTACAGCTCCCATAACCCTTGTAAATTTTTAGGCAAGGAGCTTGAAGTTTTCTTTTGTTGTGTTAATGAAAGGCTTTTGGAAAGCCCCTAAAGCTGAATGGCTTTTGGGGGAGTTGGTTGATCCTGTGATTCCTGTGAATCAATAGCTGAATTGGCTGCCAGTCCCAATTCCATCCTTCCTGGGAGGTGAGAGGATCTAGAAGTTAAATCAGGCACCAATGTATGATCTCATCATTTGTGCCAACGTTGTGAAGTTCATGAAAACCCCAAAGGAGAGACTCAGAAGCTCTTCTGGGTTGAGACGCCTTGAGGTGTGGGGTTGGTAGCATACTTGAGGCGAGCACAGAAGTTCCCGGGGCTGCCCTTTTCATTTATTTTGCCCGACGTCTCTCTTGCAGCTGTCTCTTCCCAAGTTAGAGACTTTATAGTATATTGGAGTCTAGTAAGTTAAATGTTTCTCGGACTTCTCTGAGCCTCTCTAGAAAACTAAATCCAAAGAGGAGATCATGGCTCGAGCCATTCAAAGGTATAGGTAGGGCTTGAGAGGGGTGTGGCCCCCAAACCAAAACAAGTACAGGTTAACAACCTAGGCTTACAGAGTATCCAGTGAGGAGTTGGGCATGGGAATCTCTTCCAGTCTATAGCTGACCTTACAGAATACGTAAGGATGTAGACTTGCAACTGGCAGGAGCAGAGGCCAGTCCAGGAAAACGGAGCCCTTCACCTGAGAGGTCTAGCACTGTCTCTGAGTATGTAATGTCAGAACTGAGTTGAGTTCTCAGCCAATATCAACATTGTTGATGTCCAAACCGTTCCATGGGTGCATAGGGGAACCCCTCCTCTTTGTTTTTGTTTTGTTTTTGGTACCAAAACCTCTTTAGTTGCAGAAACAGTGTCTAAATTTAGGAGAATTTTATTTTAAAACAGTTGGGGATTCAATCAGCTAATCAATGACTGAACAAATAGCAGTATTTCTATATTATTTAAAAAAAAATAGGTTGTGGGGGCCAGAGCAATAGTACAAGTAGGGTGTTTGCCTCGCACTTGGCTGACCTGGGTTCTGTCTCCAGCATCCCAGATGGAACTCCAAGTACTGCCAGGAGTAATACCTGAGTGTAAAGCCAGTCTGGAGTAAGTCCAGAGCATTGCCAGGTGTGACCTCTGCCCCCAAAACAAAAATGCAAAACAAAAAACTCGGTTTTTATTTTATTTATTTTTTTTTGTTTTTTGGACCACACCCAGTGGTGCTTAGGGATTACTCCTGGCAGTGCTCTCAGGGGACCATATGGGATGCTGGAGATGGGACTTGGGTCACTTCATGCAAGGCAAGCCCTCTACCCGCTGTGCTATCTCTCCAGCCCAGGATTCTGTTCTTGTTGGGAAGAGTTGAGAGTACCTAGGAGTTTTGAGGTACATGCATGCTAATTCTTACAACCCGCTAAGCATTGATGTTTTGGGTATTGTTTCCTAAAATCCTCTTTAGATTTCAGGTTAATTGAGAATAGATTTATAGTTTATATTCCCAGACAAGAAGAAAGCTTACCTCAGCAGCTAGATTGCTAATGGCTCTGCGGCAAGCTCGAAGAATGGAATTTGCTTTGTAAATGGTCATAAGGAAGTAAAGACTCACCAAAGAGTTATACAGTGAGTCCTCAACATCGTCAATAGATTCTTGGAAACTGTAACTTTAAGCAAAACAGTGTAGAACAAAACCAGGTCGGCAGGGAAAAAAATGTGTTAGTCAACACCAACTGGAACTATTTTTTTACTCTTCGATATTATAAAGAAAAAAAAACATAGATCAAAACTAGGTTATTCAAGAGTCTGCTTTTCATAGTTATTTTGGGGTGCTTGGGGGGGGAACTCTGTCCTTTGACTACCTTGTAGTTGGACAGTAGAGAAGTAGAGGGTATTGGGTGGGTGGACCGGATCGTGGAGCATGCACTCGGGGGCTCCAGCTCCCTCCTGTTCTGGTGCTGGCCCTGCCACTGAGAAGGAGAGATGGCCTTGGGCAGCGTCCCTTCAGGTCTTGGTCTTCTCGTCAAAAAGAAGAGACTGAAGGAGAGATTTCTTTTTTTTTTTCTTTTTGGGTCACACCCAGCGATGCACAGGGGTTACTCCTGGTTCATGCACTCAGGAATTACTCCTAGCCATGCTTGGGGGACCATATGGGAAGCTGGGAATCGAACCTGGGTCGGGCTGCATGCAAGGCAAACGCCCTACCCCCAGCGCTATCTCTTCAGCCCCAGGAGAGATTTCTTCAGGCTTCTTCCAGCCAAGCAGTTTGCAAGAGCAAGGATTTCATATTGACTAACATCTTCCTTTGTTTCTGCCCCCTTCCTTATCCCCACTTTTCTAGGATCAGCTTAACAATCACACTTGAGGGGCCAGAGAGATAGTATGGCGGGTAGGGCATTTCAATCCCCGGTACTCCATACGGTTGCCTGATCCTGCCAGCAGTGATTCCTAAGTGCAGAGCCAGGAGTAAGCCCAGAGCACTGCCAGGTGTGCTACCCCCTCCAAAAAAAAAAAAATATCATAAACCTGAGTAATCATTTTCGAGACCTGACCACTCTCATCACAAGGTGGCCTTTGTGTTTCTGAAGTGTTAATAGAGGGAGATGCAGAGCAGCTGGTCCTCTGCTTCTCTGTCATTGGTAGCTGTGAGAGGGGGGGAAATTGCTTCACCTCCCCTCCTTTTTTTTTTTGACCTCTATTTCATACCTGTAAGATGAGCATAATGACATTTTCCCCAGAGGGCTGTTTTGGGAGATAGATGGCTACATATGAAGCACCTGCAGAGCGCCCCTTAGTTTTTTTTTTTTTCTTCCTGCTCAGCAAATGAATTATCCCTGCTATTTCTTTCTGTCTTTCTCTCTCTCTCTCTCTCTCTCACAGCCAAGCCCAACAACTCTGGGGAAGGCGGCGTCAGCCCGACCCCTAAGCCCAGTCTGTCTTCCAGCAAATGTGACCCCAAGCATAAAGACTGTCTGCTCCGCGAGTTTCGCAAGCTGTGTGCCATGGTGGCTGAAAACCCGAGCTACAACACGAAGACCCAGATCATCCAAGACTTCCTGAGGAAAGGCTCAGCAGGAGGTGGGGCCGGGAGCGCCCCGGGTGGACTGAGTGTCCCTGAGAAGCCCCTTTCCCCCCAGCCAGGGCTGGCTTTATGGGCACACACATCACACAGCTGCCCAAGAGCGGTGCTCGGCTTAGCGCTCTGCAATTGCCAGCCTGACATTCTGAGCGACTTCGAGCAAGAAGTCCTGCATTACATTTTGCACTGGGCTCTGCCAAGTGTGCAGCCAGGGCCAGGTCTGCTGGGAGCACAGTGGTAACTCTCTTGCTCTGCCCCGGGAAGCCAGAAGAATCCTCCCGTGTAACCAAAAGGCAGTTTACTATACTACATGCTAGTGCGGTATGTGACCCACACACGCAGCTCCGAACAATCTCCAGGGGCCAGAAGTACAAAAGACAAGTCCCTTGGGATAAGGCATGCAGCCGACCCTGCTTTAGCCCTGGGCACCACATGTGATTTCCATAGCATTGCCAGGAGTCACTCCTGAGCACAGAACCCGAAGTCACCCCTGAGCACTGCTGCGTGTGGCCTAAACATCAGTCTCACCCCCCCGCAACCTCCCCATCCCCCAGATAAAATCTTCTGGCGCTGTTTTGTTCATCTTAACAGATCATCATTGAGTATCTGTTCCGAGCTCACTGCAGGGGACCCTGGAGTGAAAGTCATTGCTTTACCCTGCAGGAATTCTCCCATGTGCCCGAAGCGTCAGACACACAGACTGCCACCTTCTCTCCTGGCCATGAAGTACCCAGGGTGTTTGGGAGCAGAAGCACTCGCAGAGAGCTCGCTTTCCCGACCGTGGGTTTGTGCCGCTGATGTTTCAGTTCCTTTCTTCTATCTCCAGATGGATTCCACGGCGACGTGTACCTCACGGTGAAGCTGCTGCTGCCAGGCGTTATTAAGAGTGTCTATAACTTGAATGATAAGCAGATTGTGAAGCTTTTCAGCCGCATTTTTAATTGCAACCCGGATGACATGGCACGAGACCTCGAACAGGTCCGAGGAGAAGGGGAGGGCGGTGGGGGGCAGAATGTCAAGTGGGGTCTGCGTCTGCATCCCCTTTTTCCCGCTTGGGGTACATCCTGAGCTAGGAAACTGAATCCCACTCGAGCAAGCTTCTGATAAAACGGGAGACGGAAGGTGAAGTGCTGACCCGTTGGTCCCAGGGTGCCGAGGGCTGGAATCGTCACTGCTGAGCCACGAGAGACTCCACTCTCTGGTGCCGGGCCCTGGCATTCGAGTGACCTTCCTCTAACGCGGGCTGCCTTCCTTTGGCTCGCTCACGACTCCAGGATTGGCACTACCCACGCTGCCCCTATTACTGGTCTCTATGGCTTTATGGGAATCAGATTGACTCAGCCCTGGGTTTGTTCTTGCATCACTTGTCAGCTGAGGCAGGCAGACACGCCCTGTGGTGGGTCGAGGTGCCTTTCCCGGGAACTGTGGGTGGGATAGAGTCTCTCAGAAGCAGAGTCTGTAGAGAGGAGTCATAGATGAGAGCAGTGACTTACGTCTCCGATTCATCTGCCGCCCTGGGTGTTGGGGTGATACCTTGGCAGCGATGGAGTCACAGCAGTGTCCTCTTGTTCCTTTTGAACACAGGGTGATGTGTCGGAGACTATCAGAGTCTTCTTTGAGCAGAGCAAGTCTTTCCCCCCTGCTGCCAAGAGCCTCCTCACCATCCAGGAAGTGGACCAGTTCCTCCAGCAGCTGTCCAAGCTCACAAAGGAGGATGAGCAGCAGCAGGCCCTGCAGGACATCTCCTCCCGGTGAGGAGGCTGCCCCACCAGTAGGGAGGGGGTTCTAGAAAAGTCATGCCTTGGAAGAGCGGGATGAGATCTCGAGTGCTCCAGAGCCCCACTGAGCATGCTCCTCCCCTAGGTGTACTGCCAACGACCTTAAGTGCATCATCAGGCTGATCAAACATGATCTGAAGATGAACTCAGGCGCAAAGCACGTGTAAGTACCGTCTTCTCCGGCAACTTAAGCAGGCAGTGGTGGTTGGAACTCTGCAGTCCCAATCTGGATCTGACCTAACTGCATCTCTCCCCTTCCTGTGAGACCCCAGTCCGTCTTGATCTAGCTCAGTCTCCAATTTTTTATTTTATTTTATTTATTTTTTGGGGGTCACACCCGGCGATGCTCAGGGGTTACTCCTGGCTCTGCACTCAGGAATTACTCCTGGCGGTGTTCAGGAGACCATATGGGATGCTGGGAATCGAACCCAGGTTGGTCACATGCAAGGCAAATGCCCTACCCGCTGTGCTCTCGCTCCAGCCCGTCTCCAATTTTTTATACATAAAATGGAGACAGTATCTTTGCAGTCTCTTTACAATGGACAGTATAGAACACATTCAGTATGTGTCTGTGGCCTGCTTGCTGCTCCTGTTCTCTCTTTGCTGAGGTGGCATTCATATCGGCATAGCATCTTGGATAAATTTTCTAAGACCAGGGCCAGAGCAATAATAGTATAGTGAGTAGGGTGTTTGCCTTGCATGTGGCTGATCCAGGTTTGATACTTGGCACCTCATATGGTCCTGTGAGCTGTGCCAAGAATGATCCTTGAGCTCAGAGCCAGGAGTAAGCCCTGAGTACCACCAGGTATGGCTCCAAAACAAACAATAACAAAAAAATTTTTTTTTGTCCATTGCCCACCCCCAATGATTTTTTTCCCAAGACCTTTTTCCTCTTTCTGTGAAAGTCTGTTGATTATAGAACACAGTCCCTTCCCCGTATATTGGGGTCCTCCTCCTCTGTGTGGACAGCTGTGTACCAAAAGCAACAAGATGAAAGGTAGTAGCTTTTGTTTCCCTTGTCCACCTTGGCAGGTTAGATGCCCTTGACCCCAATGCCTACGAAGCTTTCAAAGCTTCCCGCAACTTACAGGACGTGGTGGAAAGGGTCCTCCGCAACCAGCAGGAGAACGAGCCAGGCCAGCGACGAGTCCTGAGTGTTCAGGCCTCACTGATGACCCCCGTGCAGCCCATGCTGGTAAGGATGCCGCTCTGGCCTTGTTCTCAGCTCCTTCCCGAGTCTCTTCTCCTCCTTAGGTGAGACATAATGGGTATGAACAGGGATAGCCCGGGTGGGTGGGCTGGAAGAGTTTGGAGAAGAACGGAGGTGCAGGAAGGGGAATACTGAACAAAGGGGAAGAGAGTGTGATTCGGTAGAATGACCTGAGCTCCAGCCTGGGCTCTGCCAGGACCCGCTCTAGAATCTTAGGTGAGTTGCTGGCCTCTTGGTCCTTAGTCACCTTGTCTGAGTGACACTGAGATCGTTGGGAGCATCTGCAGCGCCTCTGTCACCTTTGCTGAAAGTCAGTGGGTGGATTCCGTCAATCCTGAGGTGGGGTGGCCTCACCCAAAGGAGTCCTGAGAGTTGGTAGCGGAGACAGGCTTGCTATGACAGGGTGATTTGGTCTCCTTTCCTTAGAGAAAACTTAAGCAATGGTGTTCAGCTCTCACTGAGGCCATTGTGGTCTCTGCCCTTTTCATGAGGAATGAAATTCCGTTTCTGCCTTTAGCCTGCCCTAGACCCTGGGCCCTCTGAGCATGCTGCCAGACCCCGTGCAAGTGCTCTACTGAAGTGCCCTAGGGCAACTCTGTAGGCCCCTGTGTAAGAGTGTCTCTGACCTGAGACCTCTCTCCCAGGACTGGACCCTGCGCCCTGCGGCAGTGGCCTTTCTGACTTTTTTGTTCTTCGTGGCATCTGTTCTACAGCTTGGTGGTTAATTACAGTCTGAGTGGCGTCTAGCTTCCAGTTTCACTCCTACTGTTTACTCGCTATGTCATCTTAAGTACTTCTTGACCTTTGATTTTCTCATCTATTAAAAAAAAAAAAAAAGACAACAACAGAATAGTATCTCTAAGATATCCAGTCAAGAAGGAAATGGAATTGTGTGTCTGATGTCATTGAACTACCTCCAGATAGTAGCCCTTGTGGCTTGAGGTCCAGTGAATAAGGGCTCCTGGGTTTGGATGTCCTGACCTGGGGGACCAGATCACTGCCCCAGGCCCTCCTCACCATCATCTGCTCGCCACATGCCTCCTATGTTGGGCTAACCCCTCTGTTTGACTTTGCAGTACAATCCTAGTCTCACTACAGTGAACTATATTCATGCTCCTCAGGGTGCAAGTTCTTGTGTCAACCCTGATAAACATCCGAGGATGGCATTGCAGCCTCCCCCCCACCCCAGCCCTCTTCAGCTTCCTGCTCAAAGCAGCTGACTAGAGTCCGTCCCCCAGACCTGGGCTTCTTGGCTGATCCCACTGAGCAACCCTTCTCTTTGCAAGAGCATTTGCGAGTCTCACCCTACCTCTCCCCACCCCAAGGCTGAGGCCTGCAAATCCATCGAGTATGCGATGAAGAAGTGTCCCAATGGCATGTTCTCAGAGATCAAGTATGATGGGGAGCGAGTCCAGGTGCATAAGAACGGGGACCACTTCAGCTACTTCAGTCGCAGCCTGAAGCCTGTCCTGCCTCACAAGGTATGGGGCTGCCTGTCCGCGGGGACTCTTCCCTTCTGTGCCTGAGTCTCTCCTGGCCCTTCCCGCTTTGTTTGGTATTTGTGAAATCATTAACTGCATTTAGTCCTGTTTTTGAGTCATCCAGTCATAAGAGCAACTCAGTAAGTCTAGCTCAAGAGCCCAGACGTCAGATTAGTTAGGGACAGCACCACTTCCCTGGCCAGTGACATTGGGACAGTGAATCTACTGGAGAGAGTTCTGCAGTGCTTGTTGTGTTTCTGTGTCCTGTGTGTTCCCCAAGCTAGGTTACACTGGTGTCCTGGGGCTGTTTAAATTGGTACTAATTTTCAGGCTGGAGCGATAGCACAGCAGGTAAGGTGTTTGCCTTGCACGCGGCCAACCCGGGTTCGATTCCCAGCATCCCATATGGTCCCCTGAGCACCGCCAGGAGTGATTCCTGAGTTCAGAGCCAGGAGTAAACCCTGAGCATCGCCGGGTGTGACCCAAAAATAAATAAGTAAATTGGTACTAATTAAACAAATTACTGAATTGTTTTAAAATTATTGTTTATGGGGCTGGAGCTATAGTACAGCGTGTAGGGCATTTGCCTTGCATGCGGCTGACCCGGGTTCGATCCCATATCGTCCCCTGAGCACCGCCAGGAGTAATACCTGAGTGCAGAGCCAGGAGTAATACCTGAGCACTGCCAGGTGTGGCCCAAAAAGCAAATAAATAAATAAAAATAAAATTATTAAGTGTTTAGCCTGCTGTATACAACGCTGGGTAATGGACATTCTGCATTAAGACAAAATGGAGGGGCCGGGGAGACAGTACAATGGGTATGGTACCTGCCTTGCATGTGGCCAACCCAGGTTCAATCCCCAGCATCCTATATGATGCCCTGAGCACCGCCAGGAGTGATTCCTGAGTGCAGAGCCAGAAGTCACCCCCTGAGTATTGCGGGTGTGACCTAAAAACTAAAAAAGAAAAAAAAATGGAGGGACAGCTGGAGAAATTGTAGAGTTGGTCGGACACATGTCTTGCATGCGACTGACCTGGGTTCAGAGCCAGGAGTAAGCCTTGAGCACCCCCAGGTGTTCCCCACCCCACCCCCCAAAAAAAATGGAGAACTAGAGCAATAGTACAAGGATTAAAGCACTAGCCTATTATGCAACCAACCCTGGTTCAATCCTGGGCACCACAGCCCACTTATGATCCCATGAGTACTACCAGAAGTGATTCCTGAGCATAGAACCAGGAGTAAGCCTTTAGCACTGTCAAGTGTGACCCCCAAAACCATAAAAGAAAAGCAAAATTGGACTAAAATTCTAGCCCTCCAGAAGTTTTTGCTTTGGAACTGGAGTGTTAGTACAGCTGGTAGGGTGGTTGCCTTGCACATGGCTGATGTGGGTTCAATCCCTGGCATCCCCTATGATCCCCGAGCCTGCCCTGAGTACAGAGTGAGGAATCAGCCATGAGAACTGCTGGGTGGAGCCTCCCCAGCAGCCTCCCAATAAAGGCAAAGATCCACCTCAAGTAGAACTTGGGGTGTCTCAAAGGGCTGAATGGAAGCTTTGGATGTGGGAGCCCCAGCTTCCATCCTCGTGGTCCCCTGAGCACTGCCAGGCATGCCTCCCAACTCCTGGGGGGTAGTGGGGGGAGGACACATGGTACTCCTCGTGTATCCTTCGCTGCTCCGGAAGCAGTTTTATTCTTTCCATCTTCTCTCCAACCACTCTAGTCTCACCTTCCTTGGCCTAGCGCCCGCCCGTCTCCCACTGGCACACGTTTCTGCCTGTCTCTCACTCCTCCCTCCCTACATCCACTCCCGTGGTCTTTTTTCCCTCCAACCTTCCAAACTCTCCTCTGCAGCCCATAGAGAGTGACCGTCCATACCTGCCTCCCCCTGAGTCTGCACTGAAGCACTGACACAGCTTGTTCTCGTCTAGGTGGCTGGCCCAGCCTCGTTCTCTTTGCCCAGTGACTGGTCTTCTAGGGGTTGGAGTCTGGGTTTGTGCTGTCTGTGATTTAGCCCTGGGTCCCTGCTGCCAGTCTGTCTCTTGACTGCAGACCTCTCCTCTTCCAGGTGGCCCACTTTAAGGAATACATCCCCCAGGCGTTCCCTGGAGGCCACAGCATGATCTTGGACTCAGAGGTGCTCCTTATTGACAACAAGACCGGCAAACCACTGCCCTTTGGGACTCTGGGTGTGCACAAGGTATGGGCACAGGGACCAACGGGTGCTGTGGCTGCCTGCGTGGGTGCAGTTTGGCAGTGAACTGCTCACTTACTTAGGTACAGCCATGCTTGCATAAGGAGTTTGGATTTTGACATGAAAAGAGGCAGTGTTAGAAAACTCACTGGTGGTTAGTTTCCAGTGAGGACCATCAGCTGTCTTAGGACTCAGAGACCCAAAGCACAAATAAAACTTGACTTCCGGAGCTTCATCAGAGCTCCAGAAGTGGACTGGCACTCCCGTTTTTTGTGTTTTTCTCCCTTGCCCCTCATTTATCTGTGGCTCTGTTTGCCTTCCAGAAAGCTGCCTTCCAGGATGCTAACGTTTGCCTGTTTGTTTTTGATTGTATCTACTTCAATGATGTCAGCTTGATGGACAGGTGAGGATTCTGTTTCCAGTCCCTGGGTGAAGCAGGGTGGGGGTTTGGTTTGGAGAAGAGAGTAAGGGGCCAGCGCAGAGGCCTCTGTGCCAGGAAGCGGACCGCGGGTGGTAGTCGGAAGGGAACTGAGAGGCAGCACAGTTGCTCGTCAACTTCCCTTTCGGGTGTGGGAGCTTATCTCAGAGGCAATCCAGGTCTGGGCGCAGGTTTCTCGGCTAGAGCAAAGAGACCGGAAACCCAGGCGGGCCTCTCTTCCTCCAGCACTCCCAGGCACAGGCAGGTTTTCAGCAGGGTTTTACTTTCAGAAACTGACAACCGAACGATTCTGATTGTTGTGGGGCAGTAGATAAAACAGTCAGAGGAAGCGTGAACTGCCATGGCTCAGCTGTACCTACGTTCCTGGCCCCTTATGTCTTCTTGCCCTGCGCCCCCCACAGCAGCCCACATCCTCGAGTGCGGGAGAGGAAAGCAGGAGAAGGAAGAAAGAATTGTCGAGGTTGGGAGTTGGGGGTTGGACCGCAGGTCAGGAGGCCCTCAGGTCTCGGTAACTAACTCAAGAGCCAGCCGGACTAGAACATGAAGCAGGCAGGTGCAGGGTAAAAATAAAAAGTCAGTCACCAAAATTGCTATGATTTGTTTGGGCCCCAGGCCCATGTTCCTGTGGCTTGGCTGGAGTAGCAGCAGCAAGTACAGTGAGTAGTGGCTGGCTTCTCCCCATGGCACCCCCCGCAGTCCCTTCCAGGTAGAACGGCTAGACATGTGGGTGTGTCAGCTGTGGCAGACCGTCTCGTGGAGCACGATGACCTTGCTTCCCTCAGAACTCGTGCTGTGGGGGCAAGTGGGGGCCAGGACGGGGAGGTGGGGTGGGAGGGGAGCGGTCCTGGCCTGAGTTCAACTTCACTCTTCCTCTTAGGCCTCTGTGGGAGCGACGTAAGTTTCTTCATGACAACATGGTTGAAATTCCCAACCGGATCATGTTCTCAGAAATGAAGCAAGTCACGGTGAGCACTGGCTACACTCTGAGTGGCTTCTTGGTGGGTCTGAACGCAGGAGAGGGAAGCCCTTGGGTCAGGTGTGACGGGGAGGATGAGTCAGTGATTCCCTTAGGCTCCACCTGGGAGAGTGCGGCTTGGCGCCTCCTTCCCAGAGAGGTCCCAGCTTTTCTTATCGTTTGCTCCTTAGGGTCAGTTGAGAATTTTCCCAGAGGGCACTTGACTGGTATACAAGAAAGGAGCCGTTTCCAATCACCCCATGTTCTTAGACTGTCTTCTTGTCTCCTTTTTTCCTTCAGAAAGGTTCTGATTTGGCTGACATGATAAACCGGGTGATCCGGGAGGGCCTTGAAGGGCTGGTGCTAAAGGACGTGAAGGTGAGATGGTCACTTCCTTTGCAGACAGATTCTAGCCAGTCTTTCCGCAAGTGGGCCATGCTGTCGAACGATATGGGGGGTTTTACAGTAAAGAGGCCTTAGGTTCAGTTGGGGGTTGCTTTGTTTGCTTAAGAAGTAAATTTTCAGGGGGATGAAATCTTTTTTCCTGATAAGGGTTAGTAGGCCAAAGCAACAAAGGCCTGCCCCAGCCTTTCCAGTGCCGACCAGCAGGTGGCAGTGTGCTCTGAGGTGCTGGGCTGGCTGTGGGTGGCCGGGAAGGAGCCCTGGGCTGCTTCTGCACTTGTGGGTGGGGCCCTGGGAGCAGCCTGAGCCCTGGTCTCCTGCGTCCATGCTAATGTGGTCTCTGCTTCTTCTCAGGGTACATATGAACCTGGAAAGCGGCACTGGCTGAAAGTGAAGAAAGACTATTTGAACGAGGGGGCCATGGCTGACACAGCTGACCTGGTGGTCCTTGGGGCTTTCTATGGCCAAGGGAGCAAAGGTCAGGATGGCTTTAGCCCCTTGGAACAGCCTTTGGATGCTCTCTGGAAGTTAGTCTGGCGAGAGGGTTGGCTTTTCCCCTGCCTTGATCTGCCCGCATGGCCAGTAAGGATTCGCAGAGCTCTAGGATCCCCGACTGAACCATACCCACTCTGGCCATGGGCATCTGAGAGCCACAGGCTTGGGCAGAGGAGAGGTCAGGGTCAGGAGAAAAGGTCATACTGGCAGGGTGGCATGGGAAGCACACCCCCAGCTGTTTCCTCAGACTCTGCTGGCGTGTCTGCTTGGTGAAATTTCTTATTTCCTGACGAGAAGGGAAGCCGGGATCTGAGAAACTGGCTCTGAGTCTGTCTGCACTTCTAGTTCCTTTCACTGTTCACTGGAGCCCAACAGGTTGGCCGTGACTGATTTCCTGGAGGAAACTGAGACTCTAGTCAGAGTAGATGAGGAGGTGAACTGGACCTCTGAGGCCGAGGCCCATCCCTTTTTTCTCCCGCTGCCTCTCACTGGGCACATGGGGCTGGCAGTGATGCCCCCCCCCCCCCCACCCACGGCCCAACTCAGCCTGTGCCTCCCCCAGGTGGCATGATGTCCATCTTCCTCATGGGCTGCTATGACCCACACAGCCAGAAGTGGTGCACAGTCACCAAGTGTGCCGGAGGCCATGACGATGCCACACTCGCCCGCCTGCAGAAGGAACTGGACATGGTGAAGATCAGCAAGGTAAGGTGCTCGCTGGACAGGTCATTACTGAGGCTTGTCTGTCTCCTCAGAAAGCAGTCTGTGGCCTCTGTATTCGCCCTCCTGGGCAGCCTCTTGTGCTCTTTCTCTTCCTTTCTCAAGTCCATGGCAAATAGTGAATTAGTATGCCTTGTTCTGGCTTGGGGACAGCCTGGGACAGTGTCCTTTCTCCTCCAGGATCCCAGCAAGATACCCAGCTGGCTGAAAATCAACAAGATCTACTACCCTGACTTCATTGTCCCAGATCCAAAGGTATCTACTGGGTGACCAGGGGGCCCAGGGGGCTGTGGCAGGAGCCTGCAAGCTCTCCGCACCAGGCACCATCATGGATGGTTCACCCCAGGGTGGACATCGGGACCACGCCACCAAGTGACAGACCCAGTCGGTGCTGAGGAACTTTCCCCAGGAGTCAGAGGGTCTGTTGTAGAAGCAGCTAGAACACAGACGGCCTCAGCACCAGGCTCCCAAACCCTGGCTTCCCCTCTGGTCAGGAAACAGACTGCGGGCACGGCAGCAGCAGTGGGACAGAGTTGTTAGTCCCCGGTCCTGGTGCTCCTTTGGTTTAGCCGTTCCGCGTTGCTTCTCACCAGGTGAGAGAGGTGTTGGGGAGTGACCTGCCTGCCTTCTCTCCTGACAGAAAGCTGCCGTGTGGGAGATCACAGGAGCTGAATTCTCCAAATCTGAGGCACACACCGCTGATGGCATCTCCATTCGATTCCCTCGCTGCACCCGCATCCGTGACGACAAGGACTGGAAAACTGCCACTAACCTCCCCCAGCTCAAGGTACCACTCTCAGCTGCAGGTGTCCCCATCTGGGAACATGGGCTCGGGCCTCTTCCCATGTCCTCTGGAGCGCCGTGATTAAGCAGCAGAAAACACCAGTTTCTCTTCCCTGCTGTTTGGCCCCACCCCTCCCGGTTCCCCTGGCAGGGAATGCGGCTCCCCAAGGGCTGCCCTGTCCCTCCCCTACAGGAGCTGTACCAGCTGTCGAAGGAGCGGGCCGACTTCACCGTGGTGGCGGGAGACGAGGGAAGCTCCACGACCGGGGGCAGCAGTGGGGAGAACGAGGGGGCCTCTGGGCCCTCTCGCAAGGCTCCCAATGCCAAGAAGAAGGCAGGAGAGAAGCTGAGCAGCCCCAACAGCAAAGGGGGTAAAAGGGGGGCAGGGGTGGCAAGGAATGCTGGGGGGAGAAGGGGGAGGAGCTTGTGCTGCACGGACCCGTCTCCTGACCCAGGATCCTGCGGCAATGGAGACAGCCTTCTGCTATGTCTCCTTCACAGGGGTGGCCCCGTGCCCTGTGCCCGAACGGACATCCTGGGAGAAACCGAGAGTGGAAGGGCTTGGCTTACAACCTTCCTTCTGACCTGGTGTTTCAGGGCTCATTTTCAGCTCCTCCTAACCCCTGACTGTTGGGGTGTTGGCGGTCTTTGAACCTATGACCCCCCCCTCACTGAGCCCAGGCCACCCCTCCCCTCCTGCTGCTCACCCTGAACTCTCTCTGCAGGGGACAAGTGGAATGCAAAACATGGCCCTGTGAACGCCTCTGAGAAGCAGGCCAGGAAGTCTCCCGTGCGAGTCGGGGAGAAGAGGAAGGCAGAAGCAGCCGAGACCCCAGGCCAGACAAAGGTGAGGACAAGGAGAGCAGGACCCCAGGGGCTGAGGTGGCCGCCCTCTGCAGCCACGTGGAGAGCCTCAAAGGTGCTCTTGGTTTCTGGGGGGAGGGGCGGGCTCCTGTGCCTCTGCCCTACTCCGCCCTATTGTTGCCTTGCAGAGGCGGCTGACGAGGGAGCAGAAAGGAAGGAGAGCTGTGCCAGCAGGCAGGAGATAGAACAGCCCGGCCTTGCCCAGAGGCCACCGGGACCACCCAATTGCTGGTCCCAAGGCACAGTTTACATTAAAAGGGAGACAGTCCAGTGTGGGTGTGGATGTGTGCTCTGGGCAGGAGCAGGACCAGCAGCGTGTAGGCCAGGGGGCACCCTGGTTTAGGGACTCCCTTCCAACATCTCCCTGGTCAGCCTTTGGTGTGTGGGTAGCCACAGCCCTACTCAGGCCAGGAACACGGGTTACTAGTGGGTCAGCCCTGGAGGAGCAGACAAAGGGCTAGAGATCACAGATGCTTGTCACTGTTGACCACCCGCTGGTCAGAGTAAGCACAGGAGCCTACTACCATACCGACTCCAGCCCCCTGCCCCCTTGGGGAGTCCATCCATCTCCTCCCCGAAACCCTCCCCATCTATGTGAGCCAGGCTCCTGCTGCCTCTCCCTTCTCTGGGTCCCCAGTGCTGAGCCTGTCCCCACACCTGCCTCCTCCCCACAGGCTCAGCCCAGTCGTGGGCCATGGCAGTGCCTGGGCCGTTCCCCTTCCCTTCTGCTCACTGCTTCCCTCAGACCCCCGTCTCTGGCCCTGGCCTGCCTGAACGCCTCCTATGGCCTCTGCTCCCCCGGGCAGGTAGAGCCCAGCCTGACCCTGTGCCTTTGCAGGTGCTGCTGGACATCTTCACTGGCGTGCGGCTCTACCTGCCACCCTCCACGCCGGACTTCAGCCGTCTCAGACGCTACTTTGTGGCTTTTGATGGGGACCTGGTACAGGAATTTGACGTGGCTTCAGCCACACATGCGCTGGGGAACAGGGACCAGAACCCCGAGGCTCAGCAGGTCTCCCCGGAGTGGATTTGGGCATGTATCCGGAAACGGAGACTGGTAGCCCCCTGCTAGGTCCTGGAAGGTCTTGCTTCTCTCCTGGGCTTTCTCTTCCCAACACACACACACACACACACACACACACACACTCACTCACACTGCTTGGTGCAGGCTCACTCACTCACTTACACTGCTTGGTGCAGGCTGGGCTCACGGAAGACAGTGAGGATGGGCTTTCTTCTGCAAGCAGCAAGTCTTCCAAACCCACTAACCGTGCATGGGTTCATTCAGACTAGGAGTTAGCTGCTGTGGGTGCTGCTGGTGAGTGAACTCCCCTTACTGGTTTACATAGATCTTTCAGATCTGGGTGCTGGTTTTCTCTTTTTCTTAAAAAACTTAAAGAAAAAAATCCCAGTTTGTTTCTCTGTTCCCTACCTGTGATTTCTCCAGGGATTTAAGTCACTGGGACTTGGAAACTCTATCCAAGGAGCTGATCCCAGGGGATGGCTTCTCTCCTGGCCTGCCCCTTTAAACTATTTAAAAGGCCCCTAGGAAATGCTGCTCATATTTGGCACGATTTGTATTCAGTCGAGCCCCCCCCCCCCTTTTTTTGGCCAGGAATGAAGCTCATTTGAAAGAAAATGAATTTTATGACTTCATTCTGTACTCTCCGATTACAGGGTATATGAAGGGTGGGAACCAGGAATGGGTAGGAATATGAAAGGAGGTGCTTTGGGCTATTCCTTTGGGGGATTCAGGCAGGCCTTGAGGATCTCACCTTTCCCACATCTGGACAAAATCCCCTCTGAGGACAAATCTTCAGTTTGCTCACAGAGACTGTGCCTCTGCCATCAGGCTGGTTTATTTCAATAAAAGGATACTAGTTTAACATAGACTACTGATACTCAATGAACTTTTTTTTCCTTTTTTTATTTTTGGGTCATACCCAGTGATGCACAGGGGTTACTCCTGGCTCTGCACTCAGGAATTACTCCTGGCGGTGCTTAGGGGACCATATGGGATGCTGGGAAATGAACCCAGGTTGGCCGCGTTCAAGGCAAACGCCTTACCTGCTGTGCTACCACTCCAGCCCTAATATTCTGAATTTTCTGCACGGCAGGAGGACCCAGTCAGTCTACACCGTCAATATGGAGCAGCCCCACTGAGCTACTGATCAGTGAAGTGTGACCAGTACACCTGAAGAGTCAAGTGACCGTGTAACAGGCATGGTCACAAGGAGCTCATGTAAACTGACCTACTTTAAATCCCAGACCTGCAGCATAATAGCTGTAACCTTAGGCAAATTATTGAACATCTGAACCTCTGTCTCCCCTAGAGGAAGGGGGACAGGAATTGCACCCAGAAAGGACTGCTCTTAGGAGTAAATGAGCTCAGATATATTATGAGAAGCACTTAGAAAGAACCTGCCACTTAATTCTCTAGAGTTGTTTTCCATCATGGGGTGATACCCACCATCCCTGGCACTGGAATAATCCTGCAGGCAGTAACAAGCCTCGGTGTGATTGGTTGTTTACTTAAAGAAGGCAGATTTTCAGGGGTCGCCAAGTGATTTATTTCTCTTGAAATGGGGGGAGGGGGCAGGAACCTCTGACTTAGGAGATCAGCACTGGTGCCACTCCCCATTAGAACTGTCAGCACTCGAGTCTGCTGGCTTACACTGGCCTGCACGCTGGCTCCTCAGGGTGCTGTCTGAGTAGAGACCGGCTTCCTGGTTCTCAGCTGACTCCTGAGGGTCAGCTTCTCTCATCAGCAAGCTGGGAGGCGTCTGTCCACCTTCGGTGAGTTGGGTCAATGTGATTCAACCTCCAGAACACACTTCAGTACCTGGGCCAGTAAAATCCAGCACCACCAGGCCAGGGAGCTGGCTAAGAGGGCTGGAGCTCTTGCTTGGCACGCAGGCGTCCTGGATTCTACCCCACACGTGGCTTGGTTTCCCAAGCATCGCCCAAATGTGCTTATCGTCCCCTCTGTCCCCCCCCCCACCCCAAAGGCATACCACCTGACTAATCTGAGTACCTACTGGTAAAAACGTGTTGAAGTGGCAGAAGTAGGCAGGCTCTGGCCAAGATACTTGTTTTTAACTGGGTGATATTCAGCTGGCAGGAGCCTTGAAAATAAGACAACTCTACTGTATGAAGACAAAAAGCTGTTCCTCTTCTGAGCACTGACCTAGATTCCTATTCCTCTCCCACCTCCTCATACAACTGGTCAGACTGGGCAGCAGACAAGGCTTTACCCTTGGAATTCTACCAACTGGCAGCACCGTCTCACCTTACCGCCCAGCCCCACCTGACCTCTCATTATTTGCTTACTTGTGCAGCCCTTCAGCCAGTGGGCCCTGTTGTTGCAAAGGAAATGGTCAGGAAATGGGCACTGGCCTTTCACACTGTTACTCTGTGTCCTTGGAGAGGCTGCTCTCTGCTGCTGAGATGGCCAGTTTATATGTGTATCCTCACAAACCCTAAGTCACGTCTTCATTCTCACAAAACCTCCAGCAGAAACAGGAGTCCTTTTGGAAGGCCTTTGTTTCCATGCTGTGGGGGGCTGCAGATAAGACAGGAGGTCTGAGTGCGCATATGGTCAGCCCTCGGGTCCTGTGGCTATCGCCTCTCCTCCCTCTGGAGGGGATTCCTTCCTCTTGGACGCACAGGGCAGGCCTGCACCTGCTCTGGCCCTGCCAGACTGCCTTCTCAGCACTGCTCTCCCCTGAGCACCTGGTGAGGGAGGCATGGAGTGCCCTTAGACTGCCCGGCAGTCTTTCCAAGAGGCAGGGATGGTCTCCAATGGACACCATCCATTCCACTGCCCAGTCACCTGAAGATTTCACTGGGCATGCCTTGTGCCCTCTGATTCCTTTCCACCGGAATTTAAGGCATATTTTTATACCTTGTAGATCACTGATATAGATAAGTCTGAACTGTGTGGTATTTCCTATTTGGCCTTAGAATCTTAGCCTTTTCTGTTCCGCTCCCACGGTTTTCAAGGCTGTTCCATGGCCTCAACCACATATTAGTCTCTTGAAGTTTGCTTATTCAATGAACTACTATGCTTCAGATTCCGGTCTACAGACAGGGCTATTTGATAAAGATCATGTCCGTGCAGCTTCAGAAATAGTGATCTCGAGAGAGAAAGCCCATGGACACACAGCTTGGCTCAGCAACAGTCCACCTTAACTACTGGACCTCTGGTATCCTCACACCAGATGGGACAGGCTTCTATGATGAAACTTTATTACAAAATTATAAAGCAGAGCTCTGTAACAAAAAAAAAAATACATTTGGGTTTGCTTTAACACCCAAGTTAAGTCTATCTTAATATAAGTCACTTGAAGTAACACATTCACATCCAAAGGATTTCAACCAATTCATACAACATATATACAGCACTAATTCCTGCACAACTTAGAAGTTTGGATCCAGCTGCTCTCCAACTTTATAAGTCTCAACTGAAATCTCAGGATTATCACAGCAAAAAGCCATGGAGTAAAGGATTAGGTGCTTCCATGATAATTATGACCAAGGAGGGAAAGGGCTGGACGGAAGATCCAAGGATTAAAATCTAGCTTTCTAACCAGGTTAGATACTAACTGTGATAGGATTTAGAATCCCCAACTTTCATTTGGTGTAATAAGATGACACCCCTCCTCCCAAAGACAAAAACAAATACTCGACACCTTTTTTCTAAATAGAAACCTTCACCAAAAGAAGTTAAAAGACTTAAAAGATACCTTTCTTTCTCCAAAGTCAGTAAATGACATCAGTTCTAACTGTTATCGAGGATATCTTTAATTCATTCCTAGGCAGGAGATTGGGGCGTAGGGAGAGGTAAGGCCTCCGCAAAGAAAGCAATTTCTAAGTAGGGAGGGAACCAGCCCTGGAGTGGCTGCCGGACCCTGGCTGAGTTGCCTGTGTACTATGTAGAGAGACTTGTTTCACAGTGGAATCGAGTAGCTGAATCCTTTGCTGGCAGGCACTGTAAACAATAGCACTTACTAATCCAGCAGAAAGATAAAAGACTATGTATGATGATGTCTTCATGGGAAAATATGATTTCCCCCAATTCCTACCAAAGGCTATATCCCAGAATCAGATTATCCAGGATGAGGTGTAATGTCGAGGTAAGTGGCCCAGTGTTCAGCTGACAACTACTTTATGAAATTATTTTAATCCCCCCCGAGGAGGAACCATGAATGATGGAGGTAACCCTAAGTACGCCTGTACCGATTAACAGGTCCCTTAAGCATTTCCTACTGCATTAGTTCTAGTTTGAGGTCTCGGAGGCGGGGGAGGGTCTGCCAAGGCCCCAGTGTGAAGGATTTGCATAGTTCATCCATATAGTTCATCCATTGATAGTAGGAGCACACACACCTGACTGTGCATGCGTGTGCATGTGTGTGCGCGTGTGTGTGTATTTCCTGGAGTTAAGCTGCTCTGGCAAACTTTACAGAGCTGGTGACCCTCACCCCTGCATTACACAGTCCTTGAAAGGCCTGGAGAATGCTGTTTCCTGACCAGCCTCAACTCAGCAGGCTGACACGGTGGGTTGGGGGCAGTCTGCTCAAGACGGAATCCACCTTCATCCAGTACCTTCTGATAACTGGTTAAGTGTTCTGTCTTCCAGGTCTGTTCAGCAGGGGATTGGGACTAAGTCTGGCCAGAGCAAAGTGAAATTCTTTGCCTAAATATGCCTTCCATAAGACCATATTTAAGATCTCCATGGAAAGGGGTGTGAGGTGCACACACTGTATTTACGGGGTGGGGGGTGGGGGTTCCAGGCTCCTGTCTATCAGGCATGTCAAAGTAGAGTGGGAAGTTAATGCCTTCACCCAATGTGGCCCCTTTTCCTTAGCACTTAAACTAAGGATGGCACCGTCAGGTCCCAAGAGAAGCAGCGGAGCTGCTATAGCCATGCTCCATCTCTCACAGACCAGGAGTCCCAGCACGGACACCAGACACTCTGCTGGTCCCAGGCTCGGTCGGGATAGGCAGCTTCCAGTCCCGGTACGTAAGGAAGTAACTCTTTAACAGCTTCGAAAATGTTCAGTAGCATTTGTGTTTCCTTTCTCACCAGAGAACAAGTTTGCTAGTCCAGGTTCTGTCCTAAGGATGAGCACAATCGGTCTGGTAAACTAACAATATCTTTTTGGTCTAAGATTTTAGGCAATGTAGCGAAAGACTTTTGCAAAGGTAGATAAATAAAAGTCCAGAAAACCGAAGAGGCCAGAAATAAATCTAGGGATAGAAGACTTGTGCTTGGAGAAACACAGAGGCAAACAGCTCAAGGGAACGGGGTGGGGACAGGACGAAGGGGAAACTGTTGTCTAGGTGGCTGGAGGAAGATATGGCAAGTCCTTGAGTCCCAGAAGGGCCTCTCTTCATTCATTACCTTCATTGCCCAAAATCACTGAAAAAGGGGACTTGCTCATGCGGTCAGTACTAGTTCCCAGTGGTCCTGGGCTCTGTTGGCCAACAAGTACACCTCCGGCAGCAGGTCAGGCACACTTGGAGGTGACATGCCACCTGTGCTGGTCCTGGTCTTGGGAACAACACAGATTCTCTTGCTGGCTTGCCCCGCTGCAAGCTGGCCAACCTGGGGCCCAGACACCTCGAGCTCTGTCCCGTAAGGCACTGAAGCAGCTGGTACAAGCCTTCAGGATCGGAAGACGTGCACTGCTCGGATCACATACTGGCGGCAGATGGGACATTCATTCATGCGTTTGCCACACTTGGTACAGGTTACCATGTGGCCACACTCCAGCAGGACACAGTCGATGGGAGAGTCCATGCAGATCCTGCACAGGTTCTCCTCCAGGGCAGGGGGCATCGCTCCTCCTGCAGAGACAGGGCAGGAGAGAGGGGTGGAGTTTGGAAAAGGGAGGCAATTTCCTCCAGTGTACGAGCCAGCAGGGATGCAGGCGGGAGATGTGAACAAAACCCCAAACCCAAAGGCTTCCAAGAAACCATTTCCCCAGTAACCACATCTAGTTGCTTCACCTGCAGCTACTGGTCTGGTGATAGGTTTAGAGACTAAGTCATCTGGGGCAAACACATCCCAGAACAGAACTAAAGAACAATTTGGTTTTAGAGAACCAAAGCTCAAAAGAAATAACTTTTCAGACAATTAAGGCTGTAATTTAGTAACAGAAGCATTTAGGAACCCATTATCCCCCAAGGCAGAACACGCTGAAAAGATAAAACTGGTTCTGGGTAGGGTTAGATAAAAATGAAATTGCAATGAATGGTTCATTAAGGAGCACAAGGATTATCGGCACACACACCCCAACTTGAACAAAGCCAAGGGTCATGGGGAGTGCTCTGGGCCATGCAGTAACTACCCACAAGAGTCCTCTGAGCAGACTTGCTGGGGAAGAACTGCACATCCTTTGTCTACCCCCAAGACTGTATCACACTGGATCCAAACTAGCCCACTAGACTCTGAGCGCCTTCCTTCAATAGTCAAATTTATAAAATTATGTACTTAGCACCTGCTGTCTACGCTCAGGGCAGAAACTCATCACTGAATCGCTGAAACGCCAGTCCTGTGACAGGTGTTCTTGACAGGTCTGATAAACAAATGTCTCTCCACTGAACGGTACAACTCACACCGAGTCTTCCCAGGCCAAAGTCCTAAGAGCTTGACTTGTACCGACATACAGGATCCTCAGGGAAAGTATTAAATAGATGCTCTAACTCATTCCATTCTACAGATGAGGCCCTGAGAGCAGAGAGCTCGGGGACGGGGCCAAGGGTACAGAAACGAGGACTCAATCCTGGACCCTGCGCCAGACAGGATCCAGACAATGCTGAGTGCTCAGTGCACCCGAGTTCTCAGAGGCAAGAGTACTCCTGGGGTCTACCAGGCCAGGATCCTCCCAGTTTAGCTGCACAACTAGGAATAAATGGTGGTGCCCCCACAGGTAGCTGGCGTCCCACCAGTCCCCTCTGCACCCCACCGGGACATTCATTCTCTGTTGCTTCTGTCTCTTTCCTGAAAATACTCAAAATGGCAACAAAACACTCAGTGGTCTGGCTGTGAAGGGCAAAGAAAACCACTTATTTACCCTGTGCAGGTCCGATTTGGCCCATACAAACCCCCGAAATGAACAGGAGTAAAGCATAAAATTTCAACAACTTCTCTCGGGAAGCAAATAAGCTCATCAACTCAATTGCCACCACACTCCCAGAGAATCAGAAAAAAAGAAAAGGAGGTCTGCTGGCACTGGGAATCACGAGAGGGGGGGGAGGGGTCTAGAACTTTCAACGGTTTTTGGAAACCAAGAACTCAACCCCAAGGCTCTTTATCAGTACAGGTGGGGTGTGGGAGCAGTGGGGATGGGGCTGGGAGGAAGATGCATCTTGTGCCCATCTATCCTGATAGGGCTGCTAAGCCTTTCCTGTCGACCTCCTGCCCTCCACCCCCCCAAATAAGGCTCTCAGGTCACCGCCCTTTCTTCTTGGTCTCTGCAAGAAGCTATTCAGCACCCCCTTGTGACTTCCCTTAAGGTGCAGCCAGACAGGCTCCCCCAAGCAGAAGGGGGAAAACAGAACACAGAGACCCTGGGAGCAGAGAAAGCTGATGGAGGGGGCCACGTATCACTACAAGCTTTGCTCCAGTTCATGACCATCCTTCCTAGCAGGACACTGACATGAGAGTCTACTGATTCTGACACCCTGGCTCTTGGAGAACATGCCCATCCCCTCTCACTGGGGACCCAATCTGCTCAGGAGCCTTAAAGTACAAACAGCAGCCGGGATAGAAGGAAGGGCAGGATGGGGTGCTAAGAGCCGAAGCTCGTGCCCCAACAGAAACAGTCACATACCGTTTTGGTCCTCAGCACCACACACTGCAAAGAAAAGAGAAGACACTGAGTATGTGACTAAGTAAGACAATGGGCTACCCTGACTTCCGTTCTGAACCCTAGTGGTTTCCCTATGGGGAGCCAGGCAGCCAGGAGCCCCGCACCCACCTCCTCACACGTGCCCTGTGCTCAGAACTTGCCCTCCACATTCGCTGGGTATCTGGTCTGGTCTCAGAGCAGACCTCACTGGCCAGCATGGCTACAACTGCCCAGAAGGAGGCCACAGGCCATCAGGACATTCTTTCCTGCTGCCGTGAAAGCCATTACACCTACTAGATATTTCGTTGGGCACTGCCTGAAAATGACACTGTGAAGAATGCTTTTGGGAAGTGAACAAGAGGGGAGCCCAAATGCAGGCAGAACAGATACATTCCCGTCCTGCTGTGTGTGCTGAAATTCCACCCATGGCAGAACGCAAGAGGTTGACCCGTGAGGGGAGGATGCGGACTCGGGCCGGGACTGTCTATTCACACTTGGCTCTCCAGCAAGCGGAGTTGCTGGAGGCCTCTTTTTAAGGCTGCTGTTACATACATTTTCCAAGTCCACGCCACATGCTGGCCCACCTCTCCCCAGGATGCCTCTGGTGAGACACAGCACATACGGAAGTGACAGCCCCTCAGTCAAGAGCAGGGGAGACTGCCGGGTGACAGCAAGCCCCCGGCCCTCCCTCACCCAGGTCCTGGAGTCCTTTCTGATCCTTGTACAGCCGCGTCACCCTCTCCATCAGCTCCCACTTCTCGCAGCAGCCCTTGTAGTTGACAAAGTTTCGAGCCAAGATCTCCTTGAGCTGCCTCACGGTGAGGCCTTCGATGTCATCCAGGTCAGTCAGGTCGGACAGGGATGCCCTCCGGCCAGGGACAAAGCTGTCCTCAGAGTTGACGGACTGTGAAGACAAAGACAAGATGGGTGAGCTCAGGGTTTGCCCCCACATGTTCCTCTGAGGACCACAGAGAGCAGGAACAGAGGCAGGAGAGCCGGGCACGGGCCCCTCCTGCCCCAGGGTCCATGCTCAGGCCCAGCAGACACCCACCAACTGGTGGACGCAGCAGGAGCATGGTGGGAGGGCATCGGCCCAACCTGCTCTGGGGAGCACTGCTAAGGAACGGCGGCACGCAGCTCCCCTTGGGGCCCCAGCATGACTCCTGTGCAGACTGACCATCGCGGCAAGAGAAATCACTGGACATGCATGCCACTGGCCTTTCCCTGCCCAGAAGACAGTGGCGCTTTCCCACAGAGAGGAAGATGTCCCCGGCAGGCACACAACCCCCTGCCGCCACCACAGTGCCAGCCTGAAGGCCTTTTCTCTCTCCTCGTGGATTCCTGACCACCTTCCCCTGACAATGGCTCCTGTGAGAAGCAGGAGAACAAGGTGTGCACAGGAGCCTGGCCACTGGCAGCTTGAGAAAAGGGCAAGACTGGAAACAAAGTGGGCCTGCCTAAGGCTCCAGTGTCCACGGTAACCTCACAATTCCTCACTCTTGGGCCAGAGAGATAGTAGAAGGACAGGGTGCCTGCTGTGCATGTGATCGACCTAGGTTTGACCCCTGGGTCTCCCTACGGCCCCTTGAGCCCTGCCAAGTGTGACCCAAAAACCAACCAACCAACCAACCAACCAACCAAAACTTGCTAACAAACCACCTTCAAAGGCACACGGAGGACGGGAGGCTGCCTCTCCGCCAATGAAGAACAAAGGCAAGGCACAGACCCAAGCCGAGGCCCCACCTGGGTCTCGTCCTCAGCAGGAGCTCTGGCTGTGCTCTCCAGGTAGCTGGCTTCCTCTTGGTCCTGAGACACACGGCCATTGGCCTGTGGGGGAAAGAAAGGCGCTATCACAGCCACAGAGACATTCTGGGGGTGCGTGCAGCGCGGCTTCAGCCTGGCGCACCCCGCCTCTGAAACGCGCTCCCGTCTTCCCGGGGCCCTGCACCACAGCACTGCCATGGCTGCTTTGACACTGACTCAGTCATAGAGAGATGTCAGCTCCAGAACAAAACTGCAGCCTTCTGCCCCCACCACCCCGTGCCTGAAATCTCAGCTGGAACGCTACAGGGAAGGAAGCCCACACCATCACTCGGTGGCTGGGCCATGTCGAGCTGCCCTGAGCGTGCCTGGCCTGGAGCCGGGACTGCCCCCACCCATCCCAAGAACTTCCACCCACACAGATCAGTGTCCACTGTTGTTTTTTTTGCTGCCTACGTCAGATATTCCCCTGTAACACACTAAAGTTCCTGGCTTATTCCAATGAGAACTTTCCAGACTTTCACCAGCCTATTCTGTCTTCCCTAATCAAACACCGTTCTCATAATCTAGAATGGGTTCCAATCAGCCAGGCCCACTATTTCTTAGTGCTGTCCCGAAACTCGGCTCAAAACATTTTAATGGCCCTCAGATGGTACTTGTTTCAAACTATAGGAAACAACTGTCCATGCGCAAAGAGTTTCCCTTACTAAGATGCCAGGGCTCAGAAGGCTGCACCTCTTTCTTCCAGCAGCTCTGTCGCCATGGATACCGGCCAGCTGAGTCACAGCCCCCCTTACTAGACCAAGACTCTCTTCACCCATGGTTTCCCCTCCAAAGGGCCTAAGGAGGCCTCCGAGCAAAGAGGCCTCTCCTAGCAGACACTCGAGGAACAATCTGAGAAACCAGTCATTGGCCAGGGGCACTCATGCCAAGTAGGGGACATGGTGCGGGGAGGAGGTGGTGACTATGAGGACAGATCCAAGTAGAAACTTCCACCAAGTGACCAGGGATGCTAAGATGGCATTTCTACCCAACACCTACAGGGACACAGCCCACCAAGTCTCATCAACATTTCTAGCTTTCCCTTAGCTTCTCACACACACGTGCCAGCTGGCAATGACTGAAAGGCTTTCAGAGCCTGTCCCCGAGTAGACAGTTCTTAGCATGTCCTTTTCATTCCTGGTAAGAGACCCAGATCTCATGCTGCAAAGTCTGTTTTGTCTTTGAGTTTGCCGGCTGGCGCCATCAACCGCCCCGCCCCCCGCCATCACCACCACCACCACCATGCTGATCTCCACACTTCCAGCTCTTCCTCCTTGTGACTAGGGCCAGCGAGGACATCGTGGGACTGGGCCTGCAGTACCATCACGCAGAGATTCGTTTTCTAGGTGCCACTCATGGTCTAGGAGTTTTCTGGGAGTCTCACACAAAATATTCAGCCCCCTATTCCTCTTCTGCCTCACAAAATGCAAGTCCCATTGGAACACAGGATGAGCAGACACAAAGGTGCTCTGGAAACATCAGAGGGCACATACCCCAAGAGATCGGGGACAGAGCGTTGCCTGCAGGGGCCCTGTGAAAATCTGGCCCTCTTTAGGGAAGAATCTTTTCTTCCAATACTTCCCTGGCTCCCCACCATCACAGAGAAGAGCTCAGAAAGCCTGGCAAAGGAGGGACATCAGAGCAGAAGGGAAACGACCAGCAGAAAGGGAGTGCTTAGGAAAGCGTTCAACTCCAGCCGGCGCGAGCACGCCAAGGGCGGAGCTCAGTGGGTTTACTGAAGAGGAACTCTGCTGGCACACTGGCAGTTCTGCTTCCGTGCCTGGCGGAAGCGGCATCCAGGGGCTCAGTCCTGGCAGGGGAGGCGATCAGAAACGAGAGGCAGCAGCGATCCACAGCCAGTCCTCACGAGGGCCACGCTAGGATTCTGCCAGCTCCAAGCCACTTAGAGTTGTCAGTGTCAGACATGCAAGCAGCTTGGAGCAGGGAGGGCTGTGGGGACCGGATCTGACTCTGGTTTGCTGCAGGGTGGCCATGGAGTCTGGGATGATTGGGGTGATGCAGCAGAATCTCCTGGGTCTTAATCCCATTTATCCGAATGAAACCCACAACAGAGTGATGGAGGCACCTTACCCTGACCTATGCGCGCTGTGCTCGCCTGCCTTCTCACTCCCAGGGGTTCTCGGAGGACAGAGACCATGCATCACACACTTCTGTCCACCACTCAGCCACCACTGGACCTTGCTCCTGCATGCAGGCCCCCCTCAGGACAGAGACTCCCTGTGCACAGCTGGCTGGCCCCACCTTTCTTGCCAACAATGGCCGGTGAGAGCAGCCCAGCAGTGCCTGGGCAAGGCTGCCCTATTGTCTCCCACAGCCCCCCACTCGCTCCTTTTCCTTTCAAGGTGCCTGGTAACTGAGGTGACTGAGGAACCGAGTTCCCCGTGCCACTAAGGAAGACGCCTCCAGCAGGTGTGTCAGGAGGAAACCAGCACGGGAGAGCTAAATTTGGAGAGGGAAAGGCGAGTGTTCTTAGAATGTTGCTGGAATGATAAAGTCCGTGGGGAGGTCTGGCAGCAAAGCGTGCATGTTAGAGACAAACCCAAAACAAACCAGGCGTGCTGTGCCATCACCTCTGTGAACAGAGCAGAACTGAGCCTGAGATCCAGAAAGCACCGCCCGTACCTCCACAGGGAGAAAGGCTTCCCTGAGCCAAGAGCCCGTGCCTCACTCTCCACCCTCATGAGGCAGGCCGGACAGGAGAGCGACTGGCGGGTGGGCAGCAGTGGGCAGTGGGCCCCAGGCCGTACCTGCTGGCTTTCCGGAGCCTGGGCTGGAGGGCCGGCGGGGGCCTGGGCGGGTGGAGGAGAGAGGTGGGGTGAGGTAGCAGGTGCTGTGCTGGTGTGCGGCTGGCTCAGGAAGGCCTGCTGCTCGGAGGAGTCCGGGGACAAGGTGGGGGTGCGAGTCCTGCTCTCCTGGCCGAGCACCAGCAACACCAGCTCCTCCTTCTCCCGGCACATTTCGGTCGAGATGTCATGGAGACTGAGATAGTCCCGCAGGTCCTTCACCTTCATCTTCATGAGCTCCTCCCGCTGGAAGGCCGTGGCCCGGAATCGTTGGCAGAGGAGACAGAGGCGGGGCCCGTTCCCTACTTGGCTCGAGCAGGTCGTGCAGAAAATCTTCTTACAGTCCAAGCAGGTCTGCTGCTTAAAGCAAGAGGCAGAGGAGATCAGGTCAGTCTGGGAGGACGAGAAAGAATGGGGGGGCTAGCTGAGGGCCCTCTCCCTCCCCAAGCCTCTCCCCATCACTCTGACATTGACTGTGCTACCTCCAGTACCAAAAGGGTGTACCGAGCAAGGTGTGAAGTTGAAAAAGACTCAGTGGGCAGGAGCCCTGAGTGCACCTGTGTGTTGTTCTGCTTTCTGGGGTCAGTCCCAGCAGTGCTGAGAGGACCGTGCAGCGTCAGGGACTGAACCCAGGGCCTCTGCATGTAAAGCATGTGTCTCCAGCTCGTCACATTATCTCCCAGCCCTCATTTTCCTTCTGAGGCTTTCTTTGTTCCTTTTAACTGAAAAGACTACCAGCTTGAGAATCAAAAAGCCTAGATCTTCTCCCTCACTTATTGTTGAGGGTTTGTTTTGGGCCACACCCATCAGTGCTCAGGTGGTACTCCCAATTCAGTGCTCAAGGGTCCCTCCTGGCAGTGCTCAGAGGATCACATGGTGACAGGAATGGCACCCGAGTCCCCTGCCTGTAAAGCCTGCTCTTAGTGCTCTGAGCTCTCCCGCTGGGCCTCACCCACACAGAGCATGTGCTCCATAGGGAGCTACTTGGCTCGAGCAGGTCGTGCAGAAAATCTTCTTACAGTCCAAGCAGGTCTGCTGCTTAAAGCAAGAGGCAGAGGAGATCAGGTCAGTCTGGGAGGACGAGAAAGAATGGGGGGGCTGCAGCCCCCCAAAGACCTGCACGTGTATCAAGACCATTCCAAGTAACTTTGATCATGTAATAGCTTCTCTGCTCCTTACTTTCCTATGCGTAAAACATGTGATACCAGTGTCTAACTCTCCACAGAAGAGCTGTAAATTTAAAGAGAAAACACAGGTGCATATCAAACTTGCAGTACATGCTCAAGAAGTGTTATCTTGGGGACAGAGAAGTAGTTCACGGTTAGGCACTTGTCTCGCAAGCTGCCGACAGGCTTTCGTCCCCATCACCAAATATGGTTCCCCGAACACTGGCAGGAGTGATCTCTAAGCATAGAGCCAGAGTAAGCCTTAAGTACTACTGGTGGTGGCCCCCCCAAAAAACAAAAACAAAACAAAACAAAAAACCCCATAAAATGTGTTGACTAATTATTACTAGGAAATTCAAGTTAATGTAAGTCAAGATTCAAATTCTATCCTGTGACTTTTTTACTCACCACTGAGTTAAGAAAGTCTATGCGTAAAGTTACTGTGGTTGGTGTTAAGATTAATATTCCTAATCTTGCTGAGGTTCAGGTAGGCGCTGAGTTCTATAAACTCCCCACTCATTCTTGATGCCTCCCTCCAAGGAGGTTTTCCTGGATCTCCCTGTCTCAAAGGCAGCAAGGCCAGGAGACATCAGAGTCAGTCAGGGACAGGCAGTGAACAACACAGCTGGGACCCAGCCTCGAGGTCCGTGGGAGGTCAGAGCCCAATACCTACCATGCTGCTGCCGCAGGGTCGCAAAGCACGGTGCAGGCCCCTCCATGAGAATAGCACGCGGCCAGCAGGGGCTGGCTCTCCCATCTCCAAACTGCCAGTCTCCAGTCCCCAGGGGCTGGTGTCCGTCTCCCCACAGCAGGGAGGCCCGCTGAGATTGCTGGGAATTCAGGTGCATAAGAGCCGTGTCCAAGACAAATATTGAGAGGAGCTCCAGGAGGCCCTCTGGACATGATTAGGGAGCTCTCATTTGTGAAAGTACAAAGTGTCTCAGATGGGGGACAAGAACACCTGGCAGGCAAGCTGGTATACCATCACAGGCAACACTGGCTCAACTCACAGGAAGCCGCTTCTCGGCCCCACATGCCCCAGCCTGGGTGAGCAGAGGCGGCCGGCAGGGACGCACCGCAGGAGAGGGCACTCCTGAGCACACTCACTAATCAGTTGAAGTAAACGTGGACAACATGCAGCGACCAAGGCCGTCAGGGTTCTACATCCCCTTTTCTAAGTATAAAAAGCTACGTAGTCAAGCTAAAAAGAGTACTTGCGAGACTGGGCTTCTCCAGTGTGGGGCTGACGTCTGTCTGCGTAGCTGAGCTGTTTAGCTTTCTTGGTGTTGCTCACATCATAAAGGCAAGTGGATGGAATGTTTACTATCCAATCTGACAACTGATTCTCACCTACGTCGCAGAAGGTCATTTTAACAAGCTTCCTTATCCTAAACCCTGTTAGAACCTGACTGTAAACTGTGCAGAGAACTGACTCAGATGGGTGCAGAGCTGTACCAGCTGCAGAACGGTCCTGGGACTCCAAGTGGAGAACGGACGGGGCAGGAGGTGGGGGTAGAGAACCGCTTTCAGTTGGTGGGTGTGTCCCCAGCTCAAGCTGTTCTGCTGGGAAGGGGCTGGCTGGTTTCAGAGGACCCGCTGCTAGCGTAGGTCCTGACACGAACTCAGTCAGTGGACTTTGATGACACAGCTTGACACAACTGAAAAGCCCTGGGCTGCTCAATCAGGCCCATCTAAACACCTCTCCCCTTTCTTCAAACATATGTGGCTCGTGGGGCGAAGATCAGAATGCCAAGACAGGACCTCCCTCCACCCTCTTCTCAGCAGCCCCCTCACTCTCTCCAGGCTCTGGGAGATAAGCCTGGGTTCGGGAACTCGCCTGTGAGGAGGCAGAGAACACTCTAAGCTAAAGTCCCAGTTTGCAGCAGCAAGGAAAAAACCAAAGGAAAATAAAATGGCTATCAGCAAATGTTCACTGAAGGAGCAATGAGACCACCCCTGCGATAAAGTCTAGAAAATGGCACAAACCATGCAGCAAGGCAGCAGCAAAAATGATGGTGGGGAGATGGTGTGCTGGGAAAAGCCGGCACAGCTCATTAGGCAGACCACAGGCTGCTCCCTTTGGCCAATCTGCCCTTTTCTACTCCTGCTTTTTTGAGGTCCCGCCTCTCAGTCTCCCTGCCCTGTCTATAGGCAGTCCTTGCGTGGACCTCAAGGACAGAATAAGCATTAAGTCTTAGCACTGCCTTGCTAAGGAATTTGTAAAAAATGTGGACCTCCCGCTGGCCCGCCACCAAAAAAAAAAAAAAAACATAAAAATCTCTGAAGTTATATAAAACAACGGTTATAAAATCTTGGTGTAAAAATTGAAAACCTTGCCATGTCTTGTGGTATGATCATTGTCAGTCACTGATCAGCCCTATTCCTTCACTGCAAGGCTTTCCCAGCAGCTACCAATCACTCTGAGATCTGAGTATCCCTAGGGGTAGAGAGGTAGCCCAGGAGGTAAGTCACTTGTCCTACATGTAGCCAAATCCAGTTTGATCACCTGAGCACCAACAGGTGTGACCACATGCCCCCTCCCCAAAAAATGACTATCTTATCTATATCTCCATACCAACTTCCTCTTCTTCAAACTAGTCCAACTGGGTTGGACAGATAGTACAACAGGTACAGTGTTTGCCTTGCACACAGTCAGCCTGAGTTTAATTCTTGGTACCATATATGGTCCCCCTAATCCCATTAGATGCGATCCTTGAGCAAAGAGGCAGGAGTAAGCCCTAAGCACAATCAAGTGGTACAAAAACAAACAAAACCTGATACAACTCTCCAGAGCATGGGGACACAGAGGCCAGCTGAGTTGTTGTTATTATTTTTAATTTTTGCTTTTGGGTCACACCTAGCAATGCTCAGGGGTTACCCCTGGCTCTGTACTCAGAAATTACTCCTGGTGGTGCTCGGCGGACCATATGGGATACCAGGGATTGGACCTAGGTCATCCTCATGCAAGGGAAAACACCCTCCCTGCTTGTATTATCACTCTGGTCCTCATAGCTGAATGACTTGGAACACCCTCAGGTTTCCGCATGTTCCACGCATGATCCTGGCAGCTCTGTGATCTCTGGGGTTGTGTGTGTCAGGTGTGTGTCAGAGCCACAATAAAGGGGCACCCTGATGTTAGCCCCCAACAGTGAGCACCACATGATTCACTCCCCTCACTGCAACAGTATCAAGGGAAACAAAGTGGGAAGAGTGAAAGATGAGGGACAGCTGATAGGCAGTCAAGGGGTCAAAATCCCAGGAAAACTGGCAGGGCAACTCCAAGACCACACTCAGGTGTAGACAATATAGGCAGAATGTGTGGCTTAGGGTGCAATTACAGCCTGCCATTTCTCTCCAAGACCAAAGCCGAGGAAGACAGGGTATACATCTGATTTCTATTCTCCTCTTTGCATTCTCATATTGCCTGTGCTTTGTACCCATGGAGTCATCAGAAAATACTGACCACAATGAAGCAAAGAAAAATGATGTTAGGATTCATATCATCACTTCAATTCCACCACTTCTCAAAAAGACATTTTAAAAGCCTCTGCCTGTTAAACCCTTCAGAACATGGTTTTCACTGAAGCATGAAATTACAAATGGAAAGTTCTCATAAGAGAAAGCATCTTTCATAGTCACAAAATTTACTGTGCATCCCACAAAATTAATTCGTATATTTGTGACAAGAAAATACTGCACGAATAACCAGTTTTTACTATCTAAACTGCAACACCCCCTTATTATCTCTCCAGCCCTCCCCTTCACTGTCGCAGATGAAGCTATGATAGCGGGGTCACACATGCCACCTGTGGCACATTCCAAATAACCCCTCCTTTTCTTCCTTGTGCCAAGAAGATGACTCAAAGGGCTGAAGCACATGCTTGTATGTGGGAGTCCCAGGTTCCCTCCCTGGTGCCATACCATATGGTCCCCAGCATTCTGGGCCCACCAGCACTGGCTCAAGCGTCTCTGAGGTGGAGCCCTGATTCCCCTGACAATGTGGGGAGAGTCGAAAACATTTTGTAATTAAAAAATAATTAATAGATTAAGGGCTGGAGCGATAGCACAGCGGTAGGGCATTTGCCTTGCACGCAACCAACATGGCAAACCCGAGTTCGATTCCTCCGCCCACCTCGGAGAACCCGGCAAGCTACCGAGAGTATCTCGCCCGCACGGCAGAGCCTGGCAAGCTCTCCGTGACGTATTCGATATGCCAGACACAGTAACAACAAAGTCTCCAATGGAGACATTACTGGGCCCGCTCGAGCAAATCAATGATCAATGGGAGGGCCTTTAATAGATTAAAAACGTGGGGCCAGAGAGATAGTACAGCAGGTAAAGTGCTTGCCTTGCAGGCGGCAGACCCAGATTCAATCCTCGTCAATCCCCGGCATCCCATATGATCCCTCGGCACCACAAGTAATTCCTGAGTGCAGAGGCAGGAGTAACATCTAAGCACCTCGAGGTGCAACCAATCCCAAAACAACACAAAACAAAATAGATTAACAATTAATATGTCACCGAGTATGACAAAAAATTCACATTAAACACCATCACCTGGATCAGCCAGTTATTCCCTTGACCCGGCTGCTAACTTCTCCCAAGAACACCAGAGCACCTCCATTCCACAGGCTTAGTGACACAGCAGGGCTGAAGGTGGGGGGCATGCCTCTCTTGGAGATCTCCCTGCAGAACCCCAGCTGGACCCACACTTCCCATGTGCCCTGCACTGTGACCACTCGACAAGTCTCCCCCATCCGCAAAATCACATGATCCCTCAACACAGCCAACAGTGCCTAGTGCCAGAGCACTGACTCCTGCACCTCAAGGAGTAGTAAAAGGCGGCCTCCTTTTACTGTGGGGCAGGAAGCACCCGCGTGAGAGGGCTGCGTCTTACTCAGTTCTACCCATAGAGATGCTGCCTCCAGCTGCTCCTGTGCTCTTAGGACAGTAAGGGACCCTCACTGACAACCAGTGGCATCCAAGTGTCAGTCAGCCAGTAAGTAACAAAGAGAAGTTCTCTGGTCTTCTTTTTTTCAAGCAGTATTCAGTTATCCATTCTTTCATTCTTTTGTCTATTTAAAGCACTGTGCTGCCTTCCTACCATGTGGTAATCGCTGATCAAAATCCCTGTTCCTGAGAAGATGGGCAGATCACAAAGATATTTATGTCGGGGACCAATACTCACTATGAAGAAAAACGAAGTATCTTCCCAGGCCAGGGAAATAGCTTGCTGGGCTGAGCACATGCTTTGCACTCACGAGGCCTGGGTTCCATCCCCAGTACTGTATGGGCCCCAAGCACAGAGCCAGTATTAGTCCCCGAGCACAGCTAGGTGTGGTCCAAATACAAACAAAAAGCATCTTCCCATCCTCACCTTGCCATCAGTCTCCTTTCTCTGAAAGTGGCCTCCTCACTTACTCACATTCTCTTTTCTGGCTATGGAATGTCAAAGACTCCCCTAGATTATCTGGTTCTTTCAAGTTTTCAACACATTTGACACACTAATCCCCAAGCCTGGATCACAATCATTATCCTCTTTGCTCTTTCTCCATTTCCACTCTAGACGATAACTGATGTTTTCTGGGGAAAAAATAGGTCTGCTAAAATTTACAGTGTTGCAAGCCAGCATTACCTCAATTTGAGAGAGAGAGAGACAGAGAGAGAAGGGAGGAGTATTTTCCCCTTCCTGCCACTGTTCTTGCTGACTGGGGTTCACGCTCTTTGGAACTTGGAAGGGATCACACACACTTGAACTGTGACGTGCCTGAGAGTGTACACTTCACTATGGAGCCAGGGATCCCTAACAGAGCTGCCAGATTATACTCACTATGTGAGGCAGTGCCAGGGATCAAACTTGTGGCCTTATTGCTGCTGGGATGTGCTGTCTGGAATTAAGCCACATCTCCCAACCCTAAAAAAAGTTATTAACTGTTTTCAAAAAAAAATCACATTACATAGGTAATCATAAAGGATTGATGAATTAGTAAGTAAGGAGTAGGTGAGTCAGAAGGATAGTACGTTGGGTAAGGTCTTTGCCTTGCATGCAACCAACCCATGTTCAATCCCCGATAGCCCATATGGTTCCCTGAGTTTATCACTCGAGAGTGATCTCTGAGGGCCGGAGCGATAGGACAAAAGGGCAGGGCATTTGCCTTGCATGCGGCCAACCCGGGTTCGATCCCTGGCATTCTACATGGTCCCCTGAGCATGGCCAGGAGTAATTCCTGAGTGTAGAGCCAGGAGTAAACCCTGGGCATTGCCAGGTATGACCCAAAAGCAAAAAAAAAAAAAGACATCTCTGAGCATTACAATAATAGTTGGAAATAATCATTTTGGACAGGAACTAAGTGCTGAAAGTAGGTAAAGGGATACCTAATGACCTTTCATTATCTGTACTGCAAACCATAAGGTGAAAGAGAGAATGATAGAGAAAGTGAGAGAGAAGATTAAATTCAATCACGAACAACTTGCAAATGTGTTTATCACTGTGATTCAATAAAAAACAAATGAAAAAAAAAAGTGATCTCTGAGCAAAGAGCCAGGAGTATAGCCCCACTGGGTGTGGTCCAACCTTGCCCTCCCCCCAAAAAAGAAAAAAGCCCACAACAAAAACAAATTAATGTGCATGTCTGCATGTTTATGATCACAACTAATGAGCCTTGTATGTTTCAGATGTTGTACTGGGCATCTTGAGTTGCTTACCTCACTTGATTCTCTACACTACAAAATGAGTTCAGCTATTGTATTCCCACTTCAGAGATGAAAAAAAAAAAATCAAGAGGTGAGGGTGTACCGCAAGTGGAAACAGTTATATCTAAACTCCGATCTACTGGTTCCAAATCTAGAAAATGCTGGGCTTTGCTTGGTTCATCTTTCTTTAATAGCAATGTTTCCCAAAGGGAAGATACTGCACCCCCAGAGAGCATTAGAACAAGTCAGGAGGGTGGTAAGAGCTTCAGGTGCAAGGGGTGGAGGTGGATTCCAGTTCATTCACTTAAAGAGGTAGACTGGGGGGGGCAGGGTGGTGGTGCTGATTAATTTTGTATCTGAGAAGGGTGATAGCCCAAGCAAGTCTGGGACTCTCTGTTTTATACTTTCCCAACAAGCACCTGGCATTCCATCTGAGTTCCCAGCACTGCCCAGGCAACTATGAGATGGCAGTGGGCCCAGGGCCCGAGCAGTCGGCACTCACCTTCCGAGTTGAGTTTGCAAAGTGCATTCCACAGGCCTTGCAGCTCGGTTCCGAGCCTGTCGGGGAAGGGAAAGAGCTATAGCCCGGGTTGGAATAGGCCTGGGTCCTGGTTCCCTGTGGCGGTGACGCCTCCTCAGGCTGTCCATCCAGGCAGAACCAGTTGCAGCAGGTTGCCCACATGATAAAATCTGTGAAAGGGAGAAAAGGGAAGAGGTCAGAGTTAAGACACACCTCCACGACAAGCAGGGATACTCAACCCAGAGTGGCCAGAGTTGAGCTGAAGTAGGACTGTGCTTTCATGGCCACTCAGCCACCACTGCACATGCACAAGCACTGAGTATGGCTGGCTGCCAAGACAACACTCTACTTTTGAACGGCTACTAACTGTTGGGTTTACTACTGTGAGTAAATCTGCTTGGGTTTACTCTAACTTCAAATAAAAATTTTAAAAAATGGCGGGGGAGGAGCATTCAGAGTGACAGTGTAGTTGTGTAAGTCTCACTTTGCATGCAGCCAACACAGGTTCGATCCCCAGCATCCCATATGGTCCACAAGCCCATCAGGGTTGATCCCTGAGTGCAGAGCCAGAAGTAAGTCCTGAGCAACACCAGGTGTGACCAAAAAACCAAAAAAAGGTATTGTTGGGGTTACTCTTGGAGGTACTAGGGAATGCCGGGCCCATTTCAGGCAGATCTAAGAAACACAAGGTGGGTGGTCGGGGCTACTTGGTGCTGAGGTCTGAGCCCAGGGACTCTCACATGCAAGGTATGTGATCTACCACATTCACCACAACTCTGACCTAACAACTGCTCTTGTCTTACCAATCTTATGTGGCATAACACTTTATTTAGGAACATGGATGGACATGCCCTAGAGTTCAGACAGAACTTTTATCACAGATATGTGCACACACCTGTATAATTCCACACTCACAGATCTCAGAGGTGGAGTCTTTTTGTTTAGTTGGGGGAAGGTCTGGGCCATACCCAGCAGTGTTCAGGTGTTCCTCGTGGCTCAGTGCTTGGGGCTGCTCCCAGCAGTGCTCAGGGGACCAGGGACCAAACCAAACCTGGGTGTCCCAGATGCAAAGCATGTGCTCTAGGAGCCATCTCTCTGGAACTGGGGTCACAGGAGAGGTGACCCATGCTCAAAGAAGGTACGGTCATGGCCCGAAGAGATAGCACAGGAGGTGAGGGGCTTGTCTGGCATCCCACTGACCCCAGTTCCATCCGTGGCACTGCATACAGGTTACAAGCACTGGTGGGGTCACTCCTGAGCAAGGAGCCAGCAACAGCCCCTAATCACCCCAACTTCATCCCCGCCCCCAAAAGAAGTCCAGGTCACACAGTTAATATCGAGAACTGAAATTCTGAAAACCCAGGTCTGTGGGCGTTAACGTTCCTTCCCCCAGATCATACTGGTCAGATTTGTACTTCCAATCCCATAGCACCCAACAGCTGCTCCCTTTGCCCCTTGTTGTGCTGGCGGCTGGAGTGGTTGTGGCTGGGACAGACCGCATATCCTTGTCTGCAAAAGCTTTCCTCTGCAGACCAAGGCGGTACACACGCATGTCTCCCTGCGTGAACTCTGCCCAGAGACCATAATGAAACACTGTTATTTCTCAACAACTAGTTCACACCAAAGAAAGGTACTTTTTGCTCAGTCTCAATAAACAATGCCTTTGTTAAAAGATGTGTTTCTCTGGAAGGAGCTGAAAGGTCAACTTGCTTCAGCCTTGGCCCCTTGGTCACTAGGGAAATGAAAGAGTCAGTGGGGGTTCCTGGAACTATAAGCTCAGGCCTCGTGATTGATCTTCCTAGAACAGCCTCCGATACACCCGGGGAAGAATTTACTCAGCTCTGGAGGTGTGTCTGAGTAATTCCTATTTTCTCCTGCCTGGGACCCCCCATGAGAACAGAACCACAATGGTCATAAGGTGTCCAGCAAAAAGTTCAACAAAGGCTATGAATGAATGAATCACACATGGTATTTAAATTTTCACCAGTCATGCTTATTCCATTTTTCACACATCAAAAAACATTTCTCTGACTAACACTTGTTTAAAGACTAAGTTCCCAGAAGACAAGGACCTAACCTGCCTTACTTGCCATTAATAGTTCACATGGAATAATGAAGAAAAGAGCAGTTTGAAAAAGAAGAAAGAAAAAAAGATGAGTTCTTTGTTGACAGGCAGAGTTCTTCACTGGAGACAATAGCAGAATAGGAAGACTTCAGAAAGAGGGTTTCTGTAATTCCTTAAATCCCTTGTTAAAAGCAGCATTTGAGACAGGGTATAGTAACACAAAGGGACTAGGGCCTGCACTCAGAAGACCCCAGAGTCCATGTGCCACTAATAAATTACGCCCTTTGGGAGCTGGAACGACAGCACAGCGGGTAAGGCGTCTGCTTTGCCCGACCTGGGTTCGATTCCCAGCATCCCATCTGGTCCCCTGAGCACCACCAGGAGTAATTCCTGAGTGCAGAGCCAGGGGTAACCCTTGTGCATTGCCAGGTGTGACCAAAAAAGCAAAAAAATTAAAAATTGCGCTCTTTGTGTGTTTCACTTTTCTCCTTTGGACATTCTCTAGGCTGTTAAGATCTAAGTTGGAGGTTCCTGCATTTATTTTACCTACCATACCCTTATCAGAAAAAATTGCTCAATGTCCTCTTGGAAATTAACTTTCAGTGAATAAACACTCCCCTTACCGTACCCCACCCCCCATGCTACCATGGCCAGCAATGCCTGGAGCTTAGTTCTGGTCCTCTGCTCAGGGATCACTGCTGACAAGGCTCACGGGGCCACATGCAGTGGGGCAGGACAGGGTGGGTAGCGCTGGAAGAAAAATCTATTCAGTGATGCGCACGACCCTTACTGAAGCCAATGCTGTGCTGTTGCCAGAACTTTGGTGGCTGGGAAGAATATGTACCCCTAAGTAGGAGTTCAAGGTCTAGGAGGGGAGCTAGGAATGTAACACCAAAAATGGAAATGTCAAGGTAATCAGAGCTTTAGCAGCGTGTACACTGCCTGGGAGCAGGGTATTAACAAAGAAGGAGATGATCAGCTCCTGAGGGTACAAGGGTGACTGCAAGATTGTTCGTAGGAGGCACCACACATATCCTGACGTGGGAGTTAAGTGGGAATTTACCAGAAATCCAAGGGCAAAGAAGTGTTCAAAGGAAAAAAACAAACATGTGCCATGGCATTAAAGAAGCTATAACGCCAGGCTGGACCCAGGGTACTAGCAGAGGAGGAGGAGGAACAGCAAATAAACAAGCAGCCATTGAGAACCGTAGATCCAGGAGCCGGAGTGATAGGACTGTGGGTAAGGTGCTTGACATGCAGGTTCAATCCTTGGGTTCAATCCCTGGCATTACATATGGTCCCTTGAGCCCTGCTAAGAGTGATCCCTGAGCACAGGCCAGCAGTAAGCCCTGAGTATGGCTGGGTGTGGCCCAAACACAAGCAAACAAACAAAACCCCTTGGATCCTATGGAAAGAAATGTGGCCTCTGTTCTACCTTCAGAGCCAGTATCAGGGATTCAGGCAGTCAGGTTCTGTGCTGTGATTTACACTACAGAAGAGCAATAGCAAGTGCGGGGTCAGAAGCAGGATGCTGCTTCAGAGCCAAGGCAAATGATGAGAATATGGGCTTGAGAACACACATATGCATGAGAGAGAGAAAGAGAGAGAGAGAGAGAGTGCTTTGACAGATCTCACAGGACTGCTCATTAAGGGAAAAGGGGGAAAGGGAGAGAACATAAGAGTCTTGGACAAATCCCAGGGTCTCTGAGTTTCAGGACAGGCAACAGAATTGTTAGCTGGGACTAAGCCCTTACAGGATGCATGTGCCTATGTGTGATAGAGGGCAGGAGGGTGGGGGTTATCTTGTACCTGCAAAACATGTTGGTGTACACACAGCACATGGGGGAATGGGAGGATGGTATCAGCTGAGGTTATAAAGGGTTTGGAAACCCTCAGTCTTCAGGGAGTAGGTAAAGCCTAATGGGCCAGAAGACTGATTAGCCACTGTGCTTCGGATAAGAGGAGCCCTGGGGAACACAGGATCCAAAGGGCAAGCAGCAAAACAGCCAACCAGTAAAATAGGAAGTGACTGCTGGGAGGTAGGAGGACCCAGAGTGTGTGTTGAATTACAAGAATCAGTGCTCTCAAATGATCCTGTGAGTAAAATACAATTAGGAATGCAAGTGCCCAAAGAACCTAGTTTGGGGAAGATATGAATGTGCCCTTTGCTTGAATGCTCCAGAAGAAGCTGATTGGTCATCAAAGGTGAATGAGAAGTAAAAGTTTACGGAACTTTGAGGATGAACTGATCTTTTTTTTTTTTTTTTTGGAGGCAATACTCAGCAGTACTCAGGGTCACTCCCAGAAGTGTTCAGGGACTCTCCTGATCTGTGCTCAGTGATCACTCCTGATAGGTCTTAGGGAACCATATGTGGTGCCAAGGTATGAACCAGGTTGCCAGCGTGCAAGACACACACATTACCCTCTATATCATCTCTCTGGCCTAAGAGTTTCTAATTTTAACATTGCTTTTAAAAAAAAAAAAACCTCTAGGAACTTTTCTCTTAGGAATATGTCTTCATCCCTTAGGCCTGGACAGAGAGAAACACACACGTGTGGCATCTGGTTATACTACTAAAGGACTGAAAGCTGAACCCATTGTGGGGTACACTAAAGAATTCTTCTCCCGTGGTGACTACTCGAAAACTTAACTCTCTGATCTACATATCTCTTTCCAATTGTGAAAGAAAATGATCAAATCCTCATGAGGGCTTTAAGATCCCTTCAGTACCCTCATCCTCTTCAGAAAAGCTGAACTTTGTGATTTCATCCTCAAGTACAGGCTTGGCTTTCTTTCCTGAGTGTATTAGAGGGAACAAGACAACTTTCTGTTCTCTGTGGAGGAATATTATGGTGTGAGGCAAGAATGGCTGGCTAGCTCATGGGATTTTATCAACATGCTAAGTAGCCAGTATTTCATGGGAGAATGAGCCCTGCTGAACAGGAAAATTAGAGTGGTAATAATGGGGGCGGGGGTGGGGGAAGCAAATCACCTCGATGGCCTAGTACTGCCGCAGTTAAAGCAAGAGGGGAGATAATGGAATCTATCCCTACTAATTCCTCTAATCCTAAGTAATTTCACGTTAATCACTTCTTCATTTGTCT